TCTATTGGCCATTAGCTATTTTCCCAGTGCCCAGTATTCAGTACCAGTAACCTCCTACAGTTGACCTTGCTCAACATTTCGCTGCCTTTATATTTTATATATTTTTTTTCGCGATCCGATCCAAGCCAAGCCTCGAGCCAAAGGCTAAATGGAGTTTTTGGCCTCAGCTTACAGGCCGCGCTTAATCAATCATGATCTGGCGCGGCTGTATCTGTATCTGCATCTATGGCTATGACTGTGGCTATGGTCGTACCTGTATCTGTAACCGGCGACCTTCATCTTTTACAAGCTGGCCAAACCTTTGACAAACGCTTTTGGCCCGGCTGATTCATTTGAGCCGCGCTTGTTGTTGCTGCTCAAAGTTTACTTTGCGGCATTTTGCACATTTGACCATTAAGTCAAGGTGAACCGCGAACGCGCTAATCTTGATCTCGTTTGCCTTCTGCAAGTGTGTATCTGTATCTGTGCTTTCGTATCTGTATTTGTATGTATGTGTGCATTAGCAAATTTAAAATATTCATTTTGGCTATCTGAACAAACGCATCTGCTGCGTGCGATTTCCATTGATTTATGACCGCTCTGTTTTATTGAAGGGCAGAAATTTGTTAACGGTTTAAAAAACGTATCTGTAGCACTGAGTATTTATTACTTTAAGAATTCGTTTTACCATAAGTAATTTTTTTTTTCAAACATAAAATTTTTAATTCATTTCTTAAATGTATTTCAAGCAATATGTATGTGTTTGTTTACAGAAATATGTTTTACAATATGTTTTTTCAACCATCCTTGGATCTCAGAAATGATCAATTATGAACATGTTATAAATAATTTTTTAGTTCACTCTGGCGCCAAAAAAAAATAAAAACGAATATGAGTGTCTACGATTTTGAACTATCTATTGTCGACAGATACGGATACAGAAACCGTGTAATGACCATGTGGGCGCTCATTATTTCTAGCCAGGTTTTTTCTGCGTTCGTTGAACTCGCAACGGTAAATTTACAACGCTCACAACAACAGCAACAACCTACGCCAACATGTAAAGTTCTAAGGCAAAAGATAAACAGCAAAGCGAAAATTGAAAACTAGCAGCAGCAACAACAACAACAACAGCAAAAAAACGAGAAGATCAACAAACGTCAAACGTCAGCGGCAGGCAACAACAAATATCAACAAACTACTTTGTATTTATAATTATTATCGCAGCCCGAGTATCTGCGTGTGTGCTCACTCGCGTATCTCACGGATACACACACACACACTCAAGCACACCCATTCGGCTTTGCGCAAACTATTTAGAACGTGTAAATTGAACAGAAAAAGCTGAAAAAAAAACTATTTCGCTTACAGCTGGGCGTCGATCGGCGGCAGAGCAGTCGGCAGCGCTGCCGACGTCGCCGTCTCGCACGATAAGGCGCAACTAACTGAAAGTTGAAGGCCATTACTGATACGCCCCGTGCGCCTCTTAAGTGTGTTTTGACTTTTTTTTTCTTTTATGATACACTTGCAAAAGGTATTTTGTTCTCGGCTTATCAGTTTAAAACTTATTTTCTTATTTAGTATTTAGAACTAGATCATGTTTGTAAAGATGTGTATTTTAACCTGAAGTACCAATAAATTTAATGTTCCTTTTATTTTTAAAAATATTTGTATCTGTTTTTTTTCGACTCCTAATTTATTCCACAAAGTTTTGGATTTGATTTAAGTTGCATTTCTTTCTACTCAAAAAAATGCTACGGGTTCCTTTAAATTCGGTCTAAAAAGGGTAGAAAGTATTCGTTTGATTTTTGTACGCTTTTACTTGCTTACTGCGTGACTGGCAGTTAGCGCTGATTATCTAAGTATGCTGTTGACGCGTGACAAAATGTTTTTTTTTCACATTACGTTTTTCCCTCGGCCGCTTATCTGTATTTTGGGCTTGTATCTGCATCTTGATATTGATTCGCTAAGCGTTACAGCAACACGTTTCAGCTGATGATGAGCGGCATTTATCATATTGCGCAATTTGCTGATCACCGCCGCCCTCCCGCCTCCGCCACGCCCACTTGCTATGGCTCGCTGATAAGCGCTAAAAAATTTTTAAACAATTTACGTAAGCGCAACGCTACTGTTGTCTAAAAGTAAAAGTTCTCATTAATTAAACAGAACACTCGGAGAAGCGGCAACAAAAACGCGAGCGAGCGGCAACAAACTTTGTTTGCATTCATAGCAAATTTGCATTGAAAGCGCAAGTGTAAATAAAAACTGCAATCGCATGCAACGCCGACGCCGACGTCGACGTTAACTGCGACGCCGACTGCACTGCTGCTTGTCAACGAAAACGAAATTGAATGAAAAAAAAAATTATAAAAAGCACAATGCGTCGAAATTGCTTCGCTTGAGTTTTTTTTACGTTGGCGCCGGCGCTGGCTACGTTGCGTTCTATTTTTTTCTGTGACTTCCCTGACTTTGTAAATAAATTGCCAGTGAAGTTATTAAAGAAAAAAGTGAAGCTAGAATGACACAATTAAAAGGCATTTTATATTTACAAAGTGATTTATGGGCAAGAAAAGGTTATTTTGTGACTGTCACCAAACCGGATTTTTAAAATAACAAAATGAAATTGAGGCTTTGAGAGGAAGTTTCTACAAATATATGAACATTAAATTTTGGTTAAAAGTTAATTCATAAAAGTGCTTTGTTGTTCTAGGTTTATTTTCATATATGAATCATTTTCACTTTGATAAGTTTTAATTTAATACCCTAATAACAATTAATACCAACTGAATCTAATTTTGAAAACTTAATCTTTTAAAAGTCTTAGTGGGCTTTCTTTGATTTCACTTTTGTGAATCAGTTTTACTGTTTTGAATGACAATTGAAAAAGATAGTATGTGGGTTTCCCATTGTTATTCCGGGGTTAAATATTTATTTTCCTTGTATTGTTCATCCATAAAATATTTCTTATCGAACAACTATTAATTACTTAATGTGCCGAAATTACTTACAAATAGATAACAGAAAACGTTATAAAACACGTGATTGAATCATACCCTAACAACTGTCAAGTTAAAATTCAATGCAATAAAATTTGAATTTCAAAAACTGAATGCACAACTCAATTTGTCTTGCGAAATGTCGGAATTGTAGATACAGAACACTGAATATCGAATAACCCAAATATACATATACCAAAAACAAAAACCCTTTGAAATAAAAAATGCAAAAAGTCGTGGCCCAATGAAAACGAAAGTTTACTTTTGATCTGATGTTAGTTTATTTGGACTTTTTGAAAGCAACTCAAACAAAGGAGGTGGAGAAGAGGGTGGTGGGCGGTGGAGCGAGGGAGATGGAAGATCGCCAATAAAAAACGCTTACGACAGCGACCCCCACACGCACACAAAGCTGTAATTGTTATTATTGTTATAGCATACATATAAGTACAGATATTTCGCCCGATCTAATCTCTCTCGCACGCGCGCACCCACTCGCGCTCTCTCTCGCTCTTTCTGTGTTTTCCCCAATATCACCTCTCTCATTTGCCGCATCTCCCCCTCTCTTTCCGACTTGCTGTTGGGCGCCTCTTTCTCACGGTCAAAATTCAGTTTGCGAAAAAGTTCTTTGACGTTTTGTTTATTTATTTTGTTAAGCGTAAGCCGGCAAAAGCTTAAAGCTCTCTCTCTCCCATAGAATTTCCCTCTCTTTTTTAATGGGTATTTGTAGAACTCATGGGGTATACTTAATACCCAAGTGATTTGAGCTGATTATAAGTTGATTGTACAATTGCTTGAATTATTAGTTCAGAACTACATAAAATGTTTTATTTCCATTGATTAATGATTTCCTTCTTTGCATTTTTCCATCAAGTGGTATTAGTTATTTGTTGTTCTTACCGGATGTGTAATAATTTACTGCTCACTTCAATAAAATGTAGCACAAAGGCAGCGGCGCAAAGGAAAGCAAAAGTGCTTCTTATCAAATTTACCACCCGCTCTCCCTTTTTTTTGTTTGTACCTCCCGTAAACCCCAATAGAACTTCGACCAAAGGCCGTTAAGATTAGAGTGTGCATTCCAGGCAATTGTAATAAAGAAATATCAACACGAAGTCTATTCTTGGGCAGCTCTGTAAGTGGATGTGAGGGGTCCATAAATTTTGCGATAGATAAGCCACAAATACCATCCATTATTGCCACCAGTCCCTTCTCTCCGTCTGTCAACCAAATTTGCATGGATTGCTCGTCTATTTGGCCGAGTAATTAACAGTTAGCCAGCAGCCAAACATGGCGGCAACATAGCAAAATGGCAATTAACACTCCACGCGCACACGAACGAGCCATCTAATACAGATGCAACTGTGGAGTTTGGCAGCTCTAAAACAACAACAACAACAACACCAACAAACAAAACCAAACACAAAAACAACTACAACTACTATAGTCATCGGGCGGTTTGTTATCGGAGACCGGAAATGCAATAAATAATTGAGAACAGCCCCGAGCGCTCGGCAATTGTAATGAGCAATTGTGTTCAATGACAAATTATCACTGGCCTTTCTTGTACACGCGTTACACACGCCCACAATTCTGCGCCACAGTAGCGATAACGATAACGGGATCGAGAAGCCAATTGCTTCCGTTTCCGCTTCCAAAAATAATTAGAGCTTCCCGCAAAGGAAGTTACTATATAGCTAAGAGCAGACTTTGCGGATTGCAATGAATATAATCAAGAGCTCGTTAGTGATTAAGCTTGCAGTGGATGATTTGTCATTGGGAAATTTGATTTACTTAATTAGGTATACAGGAAATATATATTTGTATTATAAAATAAGTCATGGATTATTAAACCGTGTTCCTTTGACTTTTTAGATAAGCAAATATTTTATTTTTTAAGTTTTTGAATAACAATGAATAACTTTTTGTTAATATGCCAAATCTAACAGGTTTCTGCTGCCCTTTAAACGACTTTAAAAATACTTTTGAATATGGTGCCACATACTTATGCAATTATTTCCTACATTACAGGTACAACACTGACCAAGGAGCGATGGACCAGCAATTCTGCTTGCGCTGGAACAATCATCCCACAAATCTGACCGGCGTGCTCACCTCTTTGCTGCAGCGGGAGGCGCTATGCGATGTCACGCTCGCCTGCGAGGGCGAAACAGTCAAGGTGCGGCTCTAAATTATATTCAAATGAATTACAGCTGAAATAAATCATTTTGCGTTCGTTTTTGCAGGCTCACCAAACCATACTGTCAGCCTGCAGTCCGTACTTCGAGACGATTTTCCTACAGAACCAGCACCCACATCCCATCATCTACTTGAAAGATGTCAGATACGCCGAGATGCGCTCCCTGCTCGACTTCATGTACAAGGGCGAGGTCAACGTGGGTCAGAGTTCGCTGCCCATGTTTCTCAAAACGGCCGAGAGCCTGCAGGTGCGTGTGACGATCAGGAAAACAAATTTGGGTGTCCCGTTTCAGATTAAAATAATTTGTAGTAAAAAAGTTAATACTCCCAACATTTTCAAAAACAATTTAATGTTATTACACTGTGCAGATTAAAATTTTAAACTTATTTGGACTCTTTTGATAAAAAAAATGTTCTATACTTTTATAAACATTTATATTCATAGTTTTAAATTAAAGAAATCTAAATGTGTTGATCATTTAAAAGAATACTTTAAAAACGTTGAATAAGACAATCAAAATTGTATATTTTTCAAAATGATAATGAACATAAGGTACACAAATCAAAATTAATCTTGGGAAATAAGTCCATTTTAAGGGAATACCCGATTTAGAATTTCCTGCGTAGTATTTATAACTTGATATGAAATTATAATAATATGTATTCTTTTTTCGGTACTTTTGCAGGTGCGTGGTCTCACAGATAACAACAATCTGAATTACCGCTCCGATTGCGACAAGCTGCGCGATTCGGCGGCCAGCTCGCCGACCGGACGTGGTCCGAGCAACTACACCGGCGGTCTGGGCGGCGCTGGGGGCGTAGCCGATGCGATGCGCGAATCCCGCGAATCCCTGCGATCCCGCTGCGAACGGGATCTGCGCGATGAGCTGACGCAGCGCAGCAGCAGCAGCATGAGCGAACGCAGCTCGGCGGCAGCAGCGGCGGCGGCGGCAGCAGCAGCGGTAGCCGCAGCCGGCGGTAATGTGAATGCGGCTGCCGTCGCCTTGGGGCTGACCACGCCCACCGGCGGCGAACGATCTCCGAGCGTGGGCAGTGCCAGCGCAGCGGCGGCAGCAGCGGCGGTTGCTGCAGCGGTTGCAGCGGCCGCCAATCGAAGTGCCAGCGCCGACGGATGCAGCGATCGCGGCAGCGAGCGGGGAACGCTCGAGCGGACGGACAGTCGCGACGATCTGTTGCAGTTGGATTACAGCAACAAGGATAATAACAATAGCAACAGCAGCAGTACCGGCAACAACAACAATAATAACAACAACAACAACAATAGCAGCAGCAACAACAACAACAACAATAGGGAGCGCAACAACAGCAGAGAGCGGGAAAGAGAAAGGGAGCGGGAGCGTGAGCGTGAGCGGGACAGGGACAGGGAGCTGTCCACCACGCCGGTGGAGCAGCTGAGTAGTAGTAAGCGCAGACGTAAGAACTCATCATCCAACTGTGATAACTCGCTGTCCTCGAGCCACCAGGACAGGCACTACCCGCAGGACTCTCAAGTAAGTGATCAAAAATTATTCTAAAATAAACACTTTAAGAACCACTGTTAATGAACATACGATTAGAAAAGAGTTGATCACTGTACGTATACTTTATTTTTTTTTATGAAATGTATTGCGTATACGCAACACGGTTTGAGATTTAATGAGATAGGATTTTTTAAATAAAATCTTAGTATGTCTGTAAAATATACATAAATTATCAGGAATATAACTTAAAGATGTAAAAGACCACTGTAAATGAACATAAGATTTTAAAAGATTTGAACGCTCTACGTATACTATTTTTTTATGAACCATATTGCGTATACGTAACGCCGTTTGAAATTTAATGAGAATTTTTTAAATAAAATCTTAGTATGTCTGTAAAATATTATGTATAATTTTTATTATTATTCAGTATTATCAGGATTATAACTTAAAGATGTAAAATATCAATATCAACGAACATTAGATTTTAAAAGATTTGTATACTGTACGTATACTTTATTTTTTATAAAATATATTGCGTATACGCAACGTGATTTGAGAAAATAATGAGTTAAAATTTTTTTTGTTTTTGTTTGTTTGTAAAATATATATTTACTATCAGGAATATAACTTAAAGCTATCATTTGAAAATTTTCATTAATGGGAATTCTAACAAACAGAAATATACATTTTTAAACAAGGTCAAAAATTATATAAAACCATTTCGCAGGCCTTTGCATAAAATATTAGCTTAGGTCCCCAGGGCTAGCCTTCCGTGTTTATTTAATTGTTTTATTGGCCAGCTCATTGCCCTCGTAATTAAATTACCCCTGTTTCTGGTTTTTTGTTTCCCACAAACAAACCTAAACAATTTACCAGCTTTGACAGTCAGTCAGCAATTCCGCATTTGAAATTTAAAGCACTGCTTTTTGTGGTATGTACTTTAATTGCCTGACAATTAAAATTAATTAGAAATTATCTCACATGCAAATAGGCGTCAAATGTTTGTTAGTTACAGCATAATTATCTTATTAAATTTGTGTAGCGATTGTTTGTTCAAATTCAATTAATGAACTTGTATGCAGGATACTAATTGTTTTGTGTTAAATAACTCAGAAGTCACGTTTTTTAATCAAGTGTCATGTATTTATTTGTTTTAAACTTTATTTAATCAATTATTACTCTTGGTAGAATTTTTAAATCAAATTTGGCATACACTCGCAGAAGGGCTTTATAAAAGGATAAATTCTGTTAGGCTTTGTGTAAATTTTACATAATTTATTGTGAAATCGTTTACATTGTTTAGGAAACCGAATATTCGTTTTAAAGAAAATTATATTTTGAATGAATTATTTTTTGTAAGCATACAACCATAAACTTTAAAAATAGTTGTGGTTTTGGCCCTAATCAAATTAAATAAAATCTGAAAACAGTCAGCAAAGAGTGTGGAATTTATCACACTTTTCTCATATAACTTTATTATGAATACCACCATCAAATGGCACGGCTTTAGTCTCTTATTGCCATAAGGTTGCCAAACTTTTTACTTATCGGCCGGAGGGTGGACGCAGTTAGAGGGCAAACAAACAAACAATATCAACGTTTTTGTTTGGCATAAGCGATACGATGGGCACACGCTCCACTCGCTCACATGACTGCGGTATCAGCTGTGTCCGCTGGCTCTGCGATCAAATAGTGCTTCGCTGGTGTTTTGGCAGCTATTTTTGGCCTATCAGAGAGTGTGATGTTTTTGTGGGCTAGGCACGTGCCGCTCTCCCTTTCTTTTGGCCCTCTCTATTCGTTTAGCGCGCTTCACGTGCTAAATAGTTGACGTTTTTTATACTCTATGGGTGTGTTCTTTTATAAAATTTTTCGTTCAGAATAGTTTAAATTACATTTATGTAAATGTACTAATATATTAAATTGTATATTAACATTTGTATTATTTTTCATTATATTTTTTATATAAAAAGTTATAAAAGAGTATAAGTATTGTTTACGTCTGAGATCCACTGTAGAAAAAGAAGCAAAGAAGTAATAGGAACTATTTCCCGTGAGTTGTAAGGGTAGCATTGTCATCCCTTTCAGGCATGTACATGTGGTATTTAAAGTGTGTATCTAGCTCGCTCACACAGATAAGCATAAGAATCCCAGAGTACCGTAGCTTACCCTAAGAAGTTTAACCCACCTACAATAGTTAATTACGAAGAAAGATAAATCTAATTCGATATTAGAGGTTAAACGAAATAGCTTAATTTTTCTAATATTTTATCTTATTTCAGGCCAACTTTAAGTCGAGTCCCGTGCCCAAGACGGGCGGCAGCACATCGGAGTCGGAGGACGCCGGTGGCCGCCACGACTCGCCGCTCTCGATGACCACCAGCGTCCACCTGGGCGGCGGTGGGGGCAATGTGGGCGCGGCCAGTGCCCTGAGCGGTCTGAGCCAGTCGCTGAGTATCAAACAGGAGCTGATGGACGCCCAGCAGCAGCAGCAGCATCGCGAACACCACGTGGGCCTGCCGCCCGATTACTTGCCGGTAAGTTAAGTCAGTCAGTCAGTCAGACAAGTCAGTCGATTAAATAATACAGAACACATTTCGATTTTGATTGAATTTCGATTATGATTTTGTTGCTGCATCGTTTAGTTTGTTAAGGTTTTTTCTTTTTTTGAACCGGTTCGATGGTTCCAGCTACTACTGTACAGAACATTCTTTAAAAGCCTTTTTGTTGATTCATCTTTATACCTCTAAGCTAGCCAATTGCAAAATGCTTCCCAAAGACAAGAGACAGCCAAAGCTTAAGCTGCCCTAAAATTGTATTCTGTTAAAGTTTAAGTAAATCAAATGAAAACCAGCAATGTGGGAGAGCAGAACGAAGGATTGGTGAATTGTGTGTTAATTGAATTTTCCAAATTCAGAGCGGAATATCGGCCAAAGAAAAAGAAAAATCTCAACAAAGCTGCGCCTCAAGCAAAAGTAATTGTAAAGTAAAGTAAAGACCAGAAAATCCTTCCTTCTATCAGATCCATGTTTTGCAAAACTCGATTTTTCTCAATCCTGCGTGTAGGTGAAAAAGTCAGAGGCGTTTTTAGGTAGCAGTGGCAACAAGTCCATGCACCAAATGCTTTTGCACCAGGCGGTGGAGGCTCAGCTGAAGAGCTTGCAGTTGCATTACCAAAACGAAGGATTGGATTCGGCCATGCAGAGATTGCTGGCACAGCAGCAGCATCAGGAGCAGCAGCACCAACAACAGCAACATCAACTGCCAATGGGGAAAAACCTTAGCCCGGCAGCAACATCGGTAACTGCCGGAGGTAGTTCTCGAAAAAGCGGTCGATTTAGGGCCAATTGGCTGTATCAATTTGAGTGGCTGCAATACGATGAGCGGGCCAATACCATGTTCTGCCGTCACTGCCGCAAATGGAGCGGCGAACTGGCCGATATCCGTACCTCCTTCGTGGAGGGCAACTCCAATTTCCGCCTGGAGATCGTCAACCATCATAACAAATGCAAGTCACATCGCCTGTGCTACGAACGTGAACTGCAGGAGCAGCAGCAACATCAGACGCCCAGTGGAAGTGCCGGTGGCAACACCCGGCGACGTTCCCCCGACATCATCACCATAAATGTTGGCAAGGACAGTGCATAGAGACAGGACCTCGCAGGAGGCACCCCACATACACACACACACCGCTCAGGATTAGCCTTAGGCATTAGCAATAAGCTTTGTTTATTAAAAAACCTTCGACGAACTAAACTATGTTTAGATACTTAAGAATTTGGCAGCAGCTGTGAGCGAAAAAAAAAAACAAGATTTGGCAGCACTTTGCAATGGCAAAAATTGAACAATTTAATGAGAAGCATTAATAAATGGAATTGATTAGAATTACATATTTTAGCAGCATTTTGGTGTAACAACAAAAAGGCTTAAGGGTTTTTCAAAACTATTAGAAGAGGGAAACTATACAATTTAAGCAGTCAGGAAAACTCTAAAAAAAAAAAGTCACAAAATATTTTTAAAAGATAAAATACCAGAACTTCAGAAAATATTCTTCAAACAGCTTTAACTTTCTATTCCGATTTTTTGTAATTTAAAGAATAACTCTTTTCCTTTATTTGAATATTACGTTCGGATTTGATTTGTTTTTCATTATTTTAAAACTCCAAAAAAATGAGATTTGTAGTTCCGCATCAAACAGCGTTTACTATATCCCCTTTACCCTCTCTCCCCACTTTGTGCCGCCCCAAAAAGAGCTCCGCCCTGAAGATGCACGCGGAGGACATGTCGACGCTGCTGTCGCAGCACGCGATGCAGGCGGCAGATGCGCGGGAGGAGCACAACGATACCAAACAGCTGCAGCTGGACCAGACGGACAATATCGACGGTGAGTAGCTGACCGATAAACGTTGCCATTTAGCCATTTAGCCTTAGCCAGAACCGAGCTAGCACCACTACAACTACAACTACTACAAGTAAACCACACACAAAAGAATCTTCTTCTCTCTGAGCTTTTGAATACCTAACGCACTCGAAAACCGAAAGAATATCTTACCTTATGTATCTATATATATTGCGTATGTAATTTGTTATTAGCTTTTGGTTGATATACAATATTTTTTTTTTCGTTTAACCAACTTTATTTCCACCATGCGTTCAAGAAAAGCGAGAAACCCCTACCGAAAATTTTATATTGAGAAGTTGTAAAGAAATTTGTAGAAAGTTTGTAGCTTAACTTCTGTGCCTTTCCCACACCCTGCCCCGTATTTAAAATCTAACCCATATGAGCAAACTGTTCTAATCTATAGTTAAGTAGAGTAAACCCCTGGAGATTCCCCTGTCTCTCAGAAAATATTTATACAAATTGGAGAAGCAAGAGTGGTTAAATACATATCTATATATTCTTAAAATAATAGGACCCTCTAAACTCCAGTTTATATATGTATTTCCTGAATGTTCCTGCATGCATTAAGCTCCCTTCCTCATTTTTCCAAACCCTGAGACAAGTAATACCCTATTTGAATCCCTCTATTTTGTATGCTTTTGTAAGTACAGTTCCTTTATTTTTCCCATGTATTTATCGATATATTTCGAATGTTAGATCCTAAGAGAAGTAAGACCCAAAGTGCTAGCTAGAGCAACAGATCAACACCTCTCCTACCAGAATATCTCTTTACATGCATATCTTTATAATTTCGTTGTTTGTCGTATCTTATGGTATTCTATATTGATATAAAGACATTAATCTAGCTTTTAGGACGAATTTTCCATTTAAGCTAAAACTGGATCGTAGTTACGATTATGGTTCAGTTTTTTTTGCCGTATGTTTGCCGCATGTTGCATGTTTTATGACGCCTATACATAGACATAGACACACTCGCATATACACCTTCGACACACTCCCACACCTTCACATACACACATACTATTATCATTTACGTATCGTTTTATTTTATTTTTATATGTATTATTTTAAAATTATAATTGATTTTACATTCTTCATTCTGTCATAATAGTTTTAAGTCAGTTTGAAAAATCCCAAAATAAATCCAATTAGTTTTTATAACAAAATGCCTCCGTTGACAACCAAAAACCACAAACAATTAGCTGAATTGGCGACACAAAAACTACAAAAAACACATATAAATATTATAAAAAACGATCACCCAATACAAACATGTAACAAATTTTATATTCAAAATAATTTCATTACACGCGTAGTTCTATTTTGAGCGCTTTATGTTTGAATTTTACCCAATTTACTATAATTTTGTTTTATACCTATTCCGTTATTTTCCATATTACATTTTTTGAAAACTCTGCTGAACAATAAATTTAATTCCGAAAGATATACATAAAATCCCTCTAAAATTTTTCCAAATCTCTTTTCGTCTTTAATGTTGCAACTTATTGTCTAAGAAATGGAAACGAAACCAAAAGCCAGCAAGCAAAAAATAAAATCCTTTTCAGTGTGAATACGAAAACTATAAAAAAAACAGCTTCCAAGATCGATGTGTTTTTTTTCCGTTATTTAAACACACACACACAAATACAAGCCCGCCCACACAAACACACACACAACACACTCGCCCACATACAGATACAGACTGTACTTTTCCCTCTTTTGGATATTTCTACTAACATTGCTGCATTTATGATTTGATGTGAAGAATCCGTTGAACCATATTTTGTCACACTGTTTTTTACCGAGATAACTGTAACTGACTGTCTGTGTTTTTTCAATTGGTTTTATTGCCGAGCTAACTAAGTGTATTCCAACTATCTTTCTTTTGCCTACTCTCTTTCTATCTCTCTCTGTCGCTCTCTCTCTGTACTTAACTGTATGTGTGTGTGTATGCTTGTGTCTGTGTGTGTTGCACATATCCTTTAAAGTTTAAACGAGAGCAGCCGCCAAAATTACGGTAAAGTGTAAAGGAGAGCGACAAAACTCGCACATTGGCTCCAGATTGCGCACAAAAAATATTAAAAAACCGATCACAAAAATTTTGAATAAAATGAACTCGAAATTGAATTGAAATTACCTTACAGCTAAAAAAAAAAAACCCTGCACCCAGCGCTCCAAAAACCCCTCACCACCTTCAAAACCAACAAAAACTAAGAAATAAAAAGAACTGGAATTTGCTAATATAACAAAGGAGTGTAATAATATAATACAAGAATAAATATATATATATATACCTATAAACACCAAAGAATATATCTAAAAATCTGTTGCAACATTGAAGTACTAAAACGAAAGTTATCCCAGAAAACAAAAACAAACCAAAATATTGTGTATGAAAATTGTATTATAAAAAATCAAAAATGCCAGACTATATGATAAGCCCTACCGAAAAATTGTCGATGCCACAAAATGACACGAAACCAAAGTTGTTTACATTGATTTTCTTTAACTTATGATTTTACCCAATCCGTTTCACACTGTTCACACTGTTGATTGATTGATTTGCTTTGATGCAAAGTATACTTAATTTAGCTGAATTGTTTCTTAGAGCTATAAAGTCCTGCCGATCCGAAACGATGCCGCCTTAGCTTTAAGTCCAGCCTTGATTTGATTTGTTTTGTTTTTCCACAGACTCTGCAAACTGTATGATTAAGACTCTTGATTTGACTTGATTCCATACTCCCCCCACCTTCGATCGATCTGTATATTATGATTTCCAGGCTTCGCTATATCCTCAGTCTCGATTCCCAGACCCGATTATCCTTGCCGATCACCTGACTTGTGTTTTGTCTTACGTTTTTTTGTATTTTCGTCACCACACTCATTTAAACACAAAGTTTGTTCCGGAATGAAAACGAAATGGAAATGTCCTAAAAAAACCGATTTGAACCCAGTCTCGTAGCCTCTCTTTTGCTCCATTCCTCTTGCATTTCCACCCAAAAAATACCACTATAATGAAAATCATATTAATATTACCAGGGTGAGCCAATCTGAGTAACAACCCTCTAATTAAAAAATATGCCTCTTCTCAGAATTAAAAATACGAGTCATTTAAAAACAAAATTTAACTGGCTGAAACTTAAATACAAATTAATATTGGCCCACCCAATTGACAATAAATTATATTCACCTGAGTTTTCTTGCCTTCCTTCTTCGGTTGCAACTTAGTTGAAAAATTCCGTTATCCACACCCGCTGTACACAACCGAAACCCATTGGCCCTCAGCCCACTGTGCGCATGGAATGCAAGAGAAGCGCGAGCGAGACCCCAAGCCTCCTCACCCCTATATCCGTCCCCTTCAGCTCCCTCCCCCACAGTGATGACGCCTAATATGAACCAAGCAAATGTTTGCAGGTCGCGTCAAGTGTTTTAACATTAAGCACGACCGTCATCCGGATCGGGAACAGGATCGAAATCTGAAGCACGATTCAGGCGTTGGCGAAGTGCTCGTGGTGGATCGCGATCGTGACATGGATGCGGAGGAGGAACCAGAGCCGGAGGATATTGAGGAGGCAGCCGCCTACCATCATGCCACGCCTCCCAAGTACCGAAGGGCGGTGGTGTATGCTCCTCCGCATCCGGATGAGGAGGTAGCTTCCGCTTCGGGATCGGAGATCTATGTGGACAGTGGCTACAACTGCGAGTACAAGTGCAAGGAGCTCAATATGCGCGCCATTCGCTGCAGTCGCCAGCAGCACCTGATGTCCCATTATCCGCCGCACCACCCGCACCACCGATCGATGATGGAATGTCCGGCGGAGGCGGCCTACTCCCCACCCGTGGTGGCCAGCAGTCCAGCTTATCTGACCAGCAACGGAGCGGTGCAGCAGTTGGATTTGAGCAGCTACCATGGAACCCATCACCACCACCACCACCATCATCCGGCTCCCTTGCCACTGGCACCCGCACCACCCAGTAGTCATCCTCAGAGCTCGCCGCACTATCCAACCGCCTCGGTATCCGTATCGGGATCGGGTTCGGGATCTGGATCGGTTTCAATATCAGGATCGGTATCTGCGGCATCCGCACCACCTTCGGTGGCCACGTCGGCGATCTCGCCGCAACCCAGCTCCAGTTCGAGTGGTTCCACTGGATCATCGGCCGCCGCGGTGGCTGCTGCTGCAGCGGCGGCGGCCAATCGGCGGGACCACAACATCGACTACTCCACCCTGTTCGTCCAGCTGTCGGGCACGCTGCCCACACTGTACAGATGCGTTAGCTGCAACAAGATCGTGTCGAATCGGTGGCACCACGCCAACATCCATCGGCCGCAGAGTCACGAGTGTCCTGTCTGCGGGCAGAAGTTCACGCGCCGGGATAATATGAAGGCGCACTGCAAGATCAAGCATGCGGACATCAAGGATCGATTCTTTAGCCACTATGTACATATGTGATCACTTCTCTAGGCAGGCAAAACAAATCAAATCAAAAGTCAGTAACAAAATGAAAGGTTTTCACTACTAAGGTGTTTTAAGTAACCAGCAACGTATACGTAATCTAGAGTGAGGAGCCAACAGCCATCTTGGTTGGGTGTACATCTACATATATCTATTTATAAACCTTATAAAGAAAAAAACCAGAAAAAAAAAAAAAAAAAAAAAAAAAAGAAACCTATGCTACACGTAGTTGATTTCAAGACTTTAAACTACTTATTGTTAAATCGTCTGAACCTCTCTAGATGCTTTTTTGTAGGACACTAGCAAACCAAATGGATTATTATATCGATATAGCAATACCGCGACCAGTACTCAGTGGAGGGAAACTTTGACAAGTATTATATGTAGAATTCCAATCGATTTCCGCGTCAGTTATTATTGTTTTATTTTAATACTTAACATGTGCTGTAGTGAATGTTGACTAATTTTTCGTTCGTGTCATTTTGTGCCATATTAGCTAATCTCTCTTCTAGTCCATAGGCCCTAAGGTCGCAAAAAGATAATTAAATAAACGTAAAATTCGTATTGATAAAGTAAAGTGCGAAAAAGCAACGAAAATCGAGACTATTTTTTGAGAATTTCTCTCTACTTAGCTTTGTAGAACCACACAACTTTGTCTCACTACAAATTAAATTCGCTTCGAAAATATTCAGATAGCGTCCAATTTCAAAACCGATTGGCCAGAGCCCCAGAGAAAAACCACGGGTAACTGAAGTTGGCCGCTCTCCTGATCAATATCTTTGGCAAAACACCCACCGAAGTTGATTGGAGTTGCTCTCAAAGCGATTGATATTTGTTTAAATTACCATTAACCATTGACGATCAGTGCTTTGCTAAAGGACAAATTCAAATCAGATTTTATCGAAAACTGTACTTAAACATAGCTATAGACAACAATCTAGCAATGAATCCAATTAATTAACACTTAAATACAGAATATACAAGTACATATATGTGAAACGGATAAATCAATATTTAACATCTTTAACTTTACTTAATAAATCTCTTTCAAATCAAATTCCAGTTCTTTTCATTCAATAAAAACAAAACAAACGTCCCCTAGGTACTAAAAGCAACTTAACACAATAAAAAAAAACAAATAAACAAATAAACAAAATACCTAAATTTATTTCGAATCGAGAAAACGAATCCAAATTTAAATAAAAAATTAAACATCAAGCGCACTCTCTTAACGGTAAGTTGAACTTTCTAAGATCTATTTAAGCACAAATACCTCTCCCCCTAATTTAGACTTATGTTACCTAAGTTAAATATATATATGATTTATGTATTATGATTTTATTTTTAAAAAGAAAAGCTACAAATTCGAACCAAACTAAAAAAAAAAAAAACAGGAATTGGCCAAACGATTGAAAATTTGATTTAGTTACTTAAACTTTTTTAAACGAAACACTTGCCTCTACTCACTCACTCACTCGAACTATCTATCCTACTCTATAGCTGTATTTCTTTCTCCCTCTAAAATTCGGTCTGTCTCTGTCTTGTTCTCGCTCTATATATATTGTATGCAGTCTTCCTCGTCCTGTTTTTGGACAAGGATCATAATTTGTTTTTGTTCTGCCAGGCAGGAGGGGTGTTGAATGAGATGTGTTCGATAAATTGTATCGATGTTCAATATACAATATGCCTTTTCTTATCGACGTTGCTGCGCTACAGTTATTTCGTTTAGTCTTCATCAGAAATCAGTCATATTATTTACCTGTTTTTGTCTCATTTCTTAACCTCATCTGCGTTTTTTGTTGGACCCCAACTGACCCCTGACCCCTGAACCCTCTCTCGCTCACTCGCTGTCTCCCCCCCTCAAAAACTTATGTACATTCACCAAACAATAAACACCAATCCCTCCGCAAAAACAGTGACAAAAATTAGACACTAATATACGGTTCTTGGGCTCTCTTGACAATGAAATTAACAAAGAAGCTGAAAAGAAAATACAAACCTGAATCGGAACCCACAACAATCATCTATTTACAGATAAATAGAACATAACTATTAGATCTTAGTTAAGTGTCCAAATACGAATCATTTGCACATACATACATATAATTTGGTTTGGGCTCCTCAGTATCCAATTCACTCACCCCACCAATTTATTGTAAATAATTACCCTCGAATATTTTAAGTGAACCCATCGCCACCACAGATGAAGAATCATTTGATTTAAATCATAATTTCTTACATAGCAATAATGTTCACACCCTCCCTGTTCAAGTGCTGTTCTACATTTCCCGAATTCTCAAGAACCCATGGAAAAAAAAGTAAAAGAAAAACAAATTCTTAACTGTATTTATTTGTCGATTTTTTGGGTGTAACAAAATTTGATTGCAAAACATTAAATATATATATATAATCCAATCCAAATTTCCCCACCGAGAAGAGTGTCTCTGGCCCACATAACACCATTTCTCAGGGAAATGAACAAAATTGATTTAACAATCATTCGTTTCAGTTACAATCATTCTTTCCATGGCAAAAAGAAAAACAGAAATTACGAATCTACTACCAGAAAACCAAACATACACGCATAAAATAAAAACACACACACACACCACAAACAAAACAAACACACACACACGCAGACTTTGAAAACCATCTAATTATACAGTTTAAGAATTATTATAAAAATGATTTTTCTGTTTCTGTGAATCACCAACAACAACATTGTTTTTCTCTTCTTTTTTTCTTTGCGCGTTTGAACGAACAAATTAATAAAAACCGAAAACGAAACCGAACAAATCCCATGCTAATAAAAATTAAACCAAATGCAAACGCAAAACTGCCCAAACCAAAAATCAATCGAATAAATAAAAATACAATTACAATTGCGCAGGCTCCAAGGCCTGGCACATGCGGCTAACTTTCGAGCGGCTATCGGGCGGCTGCAACCTGCACCGTTGCAAGCTGTGCGGCAAGGTCGTCACGCACATCCGCAACCACTACCACGTCCACTTTCCCGGCCGCTTCGAGTGTCCGCTCTGCCGGGCGACGTACACGCGCAGCGACAACCTGCGCACCCACTGCAAGTTCAAGCATCCCATGTACAATCCGGATACGCGCAAGTTCGACAACCTAATGTCCTCGTCGGCGGTGGGGGCGACTGCCACGCCCACCGCCAGCCAATTGGCGGTCGCCTCGCAGGCGGCAATGGCGGCGGCAGCTGCGGCGGCCTTTAATGCAGCGCAACACCAACAACAGCAGCAGCAGCATCAGCAGCAGCAACAGCAACACCAGCAGCAACAGCAACACCAGCAGGCGCATCAACAGTCGCAGCAGCAGCAGCAACAGCAGCAATCGCAGCAGCAACTCCATGCCCTCGCCCAGCAACACATGTTGCAGCTGCAGCCGCAACACCATCAGCAGCAGCAGCACAATGCCACAAGTGAATGATACAGTCAGTACATGGGCTGGAACTATGGCGCCTGGCGTCTCGATGATCACAACCTCAAGCAGCAACAGCAACAACAGCAGCAACATCGCAAGGCACAGCCCTTTAACTTTTATGCCCGCGACTACTACTATCAGCAACATCAGCAGCAGCAGCCACAACAGTCGCCCATCTCCAATCTTAGCAATGGCAACATGAGGCAGCAACAGCAGCAGCAGCAACATCGGCGACAGCAGCAACATCAGCCTGCGCAAACGATCATCATCGATGAGAGCGACAATGAGTTGGAGGAGGAGCAGCAGATGAGGCTGAACTTTGAGCGATACATGGAGCAGCTGAAGCAGCTGGCGCCCTACGATCCCCAAGAAACTTTGTGCAATAGCAACACCAATAACGTTAACAGCAGCAGCAGCAGCAGCGGCGGCGGCGAGCCCACGAATGCCAATCCAATGGAAGCTACTACAACTACTACTAATAGTAATAATAATAATAACAATAGCTATGCTAACAGCAGTACTAGGAACTACAACAAAAGGCCGCAGGAGCAGCAGGAGCAGCAGCAGCAAGATGAGTAGCAGCAACAGCAACAGCAGGAAAATGAAGTGCAACAGCAACAGTAAAAGCAACAGCAACCAATTGATACTCAAAGCAAAATTAATTTAGTTGAGAAACGCGTTTAAGATCCTAAATGTTAAAAAAGAAAAAACAGATTTAAGGGTAAACCAAATTTAATTGTCAATTAGAGGATAACCGCTGGCTGCGCGAAGGAATCGAATGCTGATCTGTGCAGGATGCGACTCATTGTCATGGTTTCAACTAGATACGGATGTTGCAGTCACATACACGCACTTATTTACAGTATAGTAAGGAACTAATTCGTAACGGAGTTTTAATTGTAAAAGTCTTGTTCGTGGGGCAAGCAAAAAGGGTTTCCAAGGCAGCTAAGCAGAGGGTGGAAAATAGGGAAAGGAGCGAAACGAAAAAAAGGTTTTAAATAGCAGCACTCAAATATTTACAAGAAAAATGAAAACCCAAAACGAAAAACAAGAAGCTTGAACTAAACTTAAAGTAAATGTATTTGAAGAACTACTCACATATGGAATTACAAATTTTACAAATTAAAATCGTTGGACCTGTCAGACATTTGTGCCAAAATCTCTTGGTGGTAGTGCCAACTTCCTTGGCTGCACTCTCTCTATTCGCACCTGTTCGTTGTTGCATTTAACACTAGTACGTGCACCACCCACAACCAAAACCACACCACCCACAACCAACCACCCACGACCACGCCCACACAGAACCCACACTAACCCACCCGGAAACCACTCTGATACTCTATGAATGAAAGGTTAGGAGCAAACACCGAACATTGAAGACATTTTAAACGAGAGATTTCTATGCTGCTAACCATTTTAATGTTTTATATAGATGTATAATTAATTACGATCTAATGGATGTCATGTTTTACACACACACACACAAACAAACAAACACACAGAAATAACGAGAATTGTAAAATAGATAATAGCGTTAACGAACCTAATCGATATTTGTAAACCAATATTCTTCGGGATTTTCTCTGCATATAGATGTATCTATGATGTACAAATCGGTGCGTTTGATCGATGTTAGTTGACCTTGAAGACATGCATTATGGCAGCCCTAATCTTAGCGAAGCAGTTTTAAACTAATCTAATCTAATCTAAACTAAACTAATTCACTGATTACGGATACTAAACTAATGTTAATTTATTTATAACCATTTTGAGGGAGTGTGTGCGAATGAGTCTCGAACTGAGCGATTGCCGATGGATCCAAACCGATTCGGTTCGATCTGATCCGATCCGATCTGATCTGATCTGATGTATTATAGTTAGCGATAACATCGCCGGATCCAATTGTCAATGCATGTGGCCGAGTTTGTTATCCAGTCGATATAATATGTACGCCTACTTATATATATACACATGCGAGATCTAAAATTAATTTTTGCAGACTCTTCTTACCGTGTAAATATGATTGATGATTCTCCCACGATTTCTGCTAGTTAATGTATATTTAAAATCAGTTTTTTGTAATTTGTTGTTGTACATTGATTGCCAAATCCCCGATATTGGTGCGCACACGCAAACACACACACAAACACGAGCATATGCAAACAAACAAAAACACACACACACACAAACAAACGTCTAATTGCCTAAAGAATTAATGCATAATTCTATTAAATATATAGTTATATATTATATACACACATATTCATAATATTTATTTGTTCTAATTCTTAACATGAAATGTTTAGTAATTAAATTTACATTATTAATAATGCTACATCAAATACTGCCCCCGACTTAATGTTTGTTTAATGTTTATTTTTAACGCTGTTTTGTTAAACAAAAAATTTAAGAAATTTATCTATATATGATGTGATAACTATAGTAAAACTAAACACACATACACACACACACGCCCACAAACACACAAAAACACACACCCACACATTACAAATTGAAATTATGTTAATTAAGCAGAAGGATTAGAGAGTTGAAGTTTTTTTAAAAAACGTTCGAAAGTAATCTATAATTTGTGTGGTATGCAAAATGGTGCTAAATCCAAATATACTTTAAAGTATAACGAGTAGGACGAGAGGGAATATAAGGATGAAGGAGGTCAACTCTCCTTGAATCGTATCGTATGTGCAATATGACTAGTTTTCGTTTAAGGTGCAGGACTTTGACGACGAGACCACGCAAAAGCCAACAATTTGAATTATGCGAATCAAAAAAAAAAAAACAAAAAATAAGAAAAATATTTGTAAATAAAAAGCGGTGCTTATCCCCACACATAAGTAAATCAAATGATATTCGAAGTCCTTTTAAATGTCACAAAATTGGGGAAAAAGACCGACAGAAAACTAAATAAATGTTAGCATATCACTATGAATATGATTATAAATACATACATCTGATATAGCAACAAGCAGAGAAGCAGTTAGTTAATGAGAACTTTTCGCTATACAATTTCTGTGTCTATTTACAATAAATGTCATAAAGCTTATCAAATTACCAAACAAACAAACAAACCACCCAAAAACCCACGCACAGCCCATAAACACACTCTCATATTTATTTTGGTGCCTCTTTGAACCATCTTAAATTCAGTCCTTGATTTCGATTTTGACTTTTTGACTTTGACTTTGTTTAACCAATTTTAACAGCATTTTTGCAGTCGATCAGGAGTGGTTCGAACCTTTAATTTTAATGAAGTGCTAGTTTCAATGTAAACTTAGTTTAATCTAATTTTTGTATTAATAAATGCAATACAAACTATTTTTAGTTTTATTTATAAACAACAACAACAGCGGCAGCAACAACAAAAGTTGATTACAAAAAAATAAAAAACAAAAAACGAAAAGAAAATAGAAAAACGCAGAAAAAAATGAAATCAGTTTAATTAACGTTAAGCAAATTGAAGCAAGCCCACAAAATGCTTGCAGCATTTGTTACAATTTATATATACACATATAAATATATATTACAATATTTTTTAAAGCGATTTTTAATAAACATTCTATCTATTATGGCAGCCTTTCAATGAAACAAATTGAATTACTAAACAAAAATAAACCTAAACCATAATAAAATCATATAACTATAACTGAAGAACAGGCAGATGAAACAATCTCACACAGAAATACACATACACACACACCCTCACAGACAGACAGAAACACACACACTCACACACACAGAAACAAGTGAAACAAAACAAAAAAAAAATCAAAACTAAATCAAATAAATTGAATTTTATGGAAACAAAACTAAATGGTGATCACTTTATTATTTTTGATCCTCTGACTCCGAAACCGAAACCGAATCTCCGAAATCCCGTTCTGCTGTGCGCTTTGAATTGTGCTTCCAACGATGTTAGGGGTGCCCATGAAAAGTCGAACTAATGTCTAAGAAACTATATATACCAACCTACTATATACCAGCCAACACGCTCACCTGCACATTTGTCTACACACATGCGCGCACACACACACACCCATAGTCGCATATAGAATTTTCAAACCTCGGCCCAATTTCCTGTTTTTTTTTATGATTTGAATTTGTTAACCTCTTTTCAACATTTACGAATACCCTACTTTTATCACCTAAATATATATGGATTTATTACGTATCAGTTTCAGCCCGATTTCGCTAAGTGTAAGCCAAAACAATTCTTTGCACAAATGAGTTACACCCAAAAATATAAGAACGAGTATACAGAGTAAATGTGCGAAGCAGCCGAAACCCTTCATTCGATCATAAAGAATTGTTGCCCACATTTGTGCTATAAATATATTTATATAAACATAAAATATATCCAATGCATCTATATGTATGCGTCGACTGTGACTAATTCCATTTGTATAGAATTAATTAAATTGGAAATACCCAAAAGCCGAAAGAAGGAATAATTCAGGAATTAACGGAGGCATTTTATAAGTTAATTTGTAACTGAACAGTGCACAGAAAAACTTAGCAACAATTTGTTATATAATGAGAAATGTATTTAAAAAAAATGTTGCCTACTTATCCGTGCACTGTTCAAATATATATATTTTATAAACGCTTAGTTGTAAAATGAGCTCGCATTTATATACACTTATATTTCTAAATAAAAAAGTACAAAATATTTCATTTGCACGCTGAAATATGTGAGGAGACGCAGAAACGATCCGAAATCCTTTTGTGTTAGCCAAAGATTTATGTATATTTTCCGTTGACCTAAGTTGCTTGATTGTAGTTAGTCACGTTTGTTTGTTTTTTATAATTACATTTTTTTTAGTACTCCTCTTTAGTTTTCTAGTTTAGTTTGATCTTTTTTCATTATGCCGCCTAAGTATATTTGTTTTTAGCTCACAAAACGAAAACTACCTATCTCTGTCTCAAGCCATATATCTCTCTCTCTCCCTCCTTCTCTGTCTGTCTCTATCACACACTCACTTTACACCACCCCCACAACCCACTATCTCTCTCTCTGTCTATTATACGAAAAAAAAAAAAAAAACCAAACCAAAAAAATTCAAAAAAAAAATCAAAGAAATCTATTTCTCTGGGCTGATTTTCGTCCCGCTCGACGGGCTGTTGTGTGTTCTGTTCTTCTCTTTCTCGTTCTCGAACCGCAGGCAGCAGCGCCCGCCACCACCTGTCGACCCCCCTGTCGACCTCGTCTTCGGCCTCGCCCCCGCAGCCCCCTTTCGGGATGCACCTGTCGGCGGCCCTGAAACGCGATTACCATCCGCTGCACTACATCGCCGCCGGCAATGGTCACAACGGTCCGCCCGCCCATGGCTACAATCAGGGATCCGGGAATGCGCCGAACAGCGGCGGTGGAGCTGGATCGGGATCGGTCGGCGGATCCGTGGGCGGAGCTGGAGGAGCGGGCGGAGCGGCCGGGCATAATTCACATCACACCATGTCGTACCACAACATGTTCACGCCGTCCCGCGATCCGGGCACCATGTGGCGCTGCCGCTCCTGCGGCAAGGAAGTGACCAATCGCTGGCACCACTTCCACTCCCACACCGCCCAGCGGTCCATGTGCCCCTATTGTCCGGCCACCTACAGCAGGATCGATACGCTGCGCTCCCATCTGCGGGTCAAGCATCCGGACCGCCTGCTCAAGCTCAACTCGTCCATTTAAGGGCGTGGCCGGGGCGCACACCCAGCCCAACACCGCCAGCTTTATCAGCAGCAGCAACAGCAACAGCAGCAGCAGCAACAACAGCAACAGCAACATGAACAGCAGCAACAACAACAGCAACCAGCTTACTACATCAGCAACTATACAAACTACAGCAATAGATTTGGCTACGGCGAGAGTTTATTGTAATTCGCTGTAGGCCTAGGTGGATTTTTTCTTGCATTTAGTCGTCGTCTGTACATTACCCACTAGCTATCCAAGCAATAACAATAACCCAAAACTAGTAGAACCGAAGATGCTATGGCAAAACGCGTATAAAAAAAAAGTATATTGATAATCTTAACTATAACTATTGGTAAACTTTGACACAGTCGTCCCATCAATTTATAAATGTGTATAACTAAAGAAAATTAGGAAAAGGTTTCAGTTGCTAACTAAGAAGGAGGAGGATATATCTATGCCCTATAAAGCGGGCCAGCGAAAGCATAAAGTTCGATTTGAACAGTTTTCTAAAGCCACCACAAACCGTTTCGAAGGTTTCTAAATGTTGTTTCCTAAAAACCTAAAAACAAAAAAATTAATAACTAAACTAATGATAGAGAGAGAGGAAGCCGAAGGAAATCACTTTGGGCTGATTCGGTCAGCGGATCGAGGTCACCCCCGAGGACGCGGGGTCACCAGGAGATGAGAAGGAGCAGCCACCACAGCAACAGCAACAGTCACCCACAACTACTACTCATACGAAGGTCACATTAGGTTCTAGTTTATTTTACTGTTTACTGTTTAGATCGTAGTGTTAACCAATATGTTCTGCAGAGTAGGCAACGGATGAGGGCTACTCAACCAACTACAAAGAAATTTTCATATACCTCAAATGCATTTCAGTTTTATTGTTGATTGCTTAATTTTAATCTATGTAGACCGTTAGCACTTAAACATAAACTACCACTTATATGTTATTTTAATCGGTTCCAACTCGATAGCCAATAGTTTACCAATGTTTTCCTCTGTTTTTTTTATGTCCTCTACCATCCTTTTGATTTTGTCCTATGCGTTAAGTTAAAGTTTTTAGGATTAGGTCGAACCACTTGAACCACCTCACTTTTTTGTTAAGCTTGTTTATATTTATGGTCAAATGTTTATTTAGTTAAAGTACACAAACATATATTAAAACCCGAAGAAAAGGAAGTTAGTTGATATGAGGGCTATACAAGAAAAAAATCATATCACGAAAATTTACAAAAAAAAAAAACGATTGAATTAATCTTTAGAAATTATATTTTTAAATTGCATAAATGTCTGCTTAATTGGCGAGAAATGGAACGAAATTATTGTAATTTGTAATCGGTTATCTTGCTTTTTGGATCACCATAACCAAAACGTCCCCGCAGAGACGGCAAAAGTAATTAATTTTAAACATTTTGTGATAGACAAAATTACGTTTCGGCACAAAATAAATTTTAAAAACCTCTATAATAATGCAAACTAAAATATAAAATTAAATGTGATATTTTCGGCACAAAACTTTACATAAAAGCTAAATACAAATTTAAAGTAAAAAAAATAATAAGCAAAAAAAATGGTAAACTATCGTGAAGGTGAAGCAACATTTGGCTAAGGTTGCTCACCTTAGAAGATTTTTGTTATAGCATTATTCAAAATTGTTATGTTTCGGTCCAAAGCACAAAATGTATAAAATTACTTTCTAGTTATTCTTTAAACTTACTTTTACTTTAACTTTAAAATCTTACTTGATTTCCTAATTTTAAGTTACGTGCATGTGCGTGTGTATATATCGATTCAAAAATATTTACACACAGAGATCATAATTTTATTTAGTTTTACGTTGATTGAGTTGAGAAACTTTAAGCCAATAAACTACAGCAAAATTGAAAACAACAAAACAAAAACAGCACAGATGTTAAGGCAAACCACTACTACACAGATTTATGTACCAAAAATGTAATAAATATGAAATTATATGAAAAAAAAAAACAAAAACAAAACCAAGCAGCGAGAAACCAAAAGAAAACTAACTAGAGAAAGGTAAAAGGAGACTAGCTGGATTTTTTAACCTTTTTTCCATACATAAGCATAAATCGTAAACGAAATATTTTTATACATCCATCTTGTAATCGGCCGATTGAATCGAGAGGTAATAAGGATCTGGGCCTGAAGGGTTGCTCTGTGGAATCAGTTTTGGGACTCGAATCCCAAGTCAAATAATGCTCCACATTCGTCACGCGCGCAAATACAAAACAGCAGCAAATTGTAACTTATTTTTTGCTCTACACTTACAAACTCAATTAATCAATATGCAAATACAAATATGGCAGTGCCCAAATCATGGCACATGGCACAGCAATGAAAAATATTATTAACAGTTTTTCGTCGTCTACAAGTTTAAATAAATCCGTAAATCCATAAAGATCTATATATATCAAGCAAACGAAATATATATATTTCAAATTTATTCAAATTAAAATCAAAATATAATTCACTAGCAGCATTTAAATGTCAAGCGAAACAGCAAATAAAACCAAATAAAATTTATGATTATTATTATTACATATATCAACAACACTCGTTTCATGTTCTGCCCTTCATGACCACGTCCCTACTTGGAAGCACAATTCAAATCGTTAGGTTCGGGTTGAGTTTGGTTGGTTTGGTTTGGTTTGGGTTCGGAGGCCTGGTTCAGGGTGTGGCGTTATGTTGCGGGAGGTTATTCATTTTTCAGGTGAAACAACTCTCTGTGGAGTGCCCTTCGGGTTTCGGGTAAGTCAGATTTAAGATTTGGTAAGTCAAACCGAAGGTAAAAAACATTATCTGTTTTTGCTTCGAATCTTTACTCATCATTCTTACGAGGAAATTTCTTTCAGTACCAAAATCTTTTCCAAAAAAGGGTATATAATTAGTTGGTTATTTTTCAGTTGACTTTTATAGCGTTTTTTTTAATTGAAAACTACACGTACTACTTAAACCTTTAGAGTGTTAGATCTCACCGAAGAGACCTAGAAATCCAATAAAGCTGAAAACATTTTTTTGACTACTTCTACCGTGTATAGTTTCCCAAAGTTATTTAATGGTAGAAAAATGTTAAGTTATGTATCGCACCTTCTTAAATAATAATAATAATTAAAATAATAATAATAAATAATTCTTAAATACAATTCCTCCACAAAATATAATACAATCTAAATAGAGTTTTTTTTTTACAAATTTATAAATATTTTTATAGAAGACGGAAATATTAAAAAGCAGGTAAACAGAATTGGCAACCCTTTTTTAAATTAAAAGTAATATTTTACCTTCTTTGAAATGATAACTACATATAATAAATTATATAACTGAAAACTTTTTGAATGTTCAAAATTAAACGGACACTTCACGAGCGTTGCCACTATACCGAAATATGAAAAACGGTAATAACGATGGTCACATTGCCCGTTTGCGTATAAATCTACCCGTTTATGTAGTTACCGATAATCAGCTAGGTCACGCTCCACACTTAGCGAGTGCACCATCCACATTTAGCGGATATTTCTTCCAAAACTATGATTTCTTGGGGCTGCCACATGTTTTAAAAATAATACGGATACTTGTCAAAAATAAAATAAATGTGATATTTTATTTATCACTCTATGCTTACTCTGCGGTGAAAAGACTGTGGAGTTGTAGTATTGATAAACTAATATTTTGATATTTGACAACCCTATTTTTGCGGGATATTTTTCTAAGCTTTCTGCGGTCACACTGTTGTGAGCTCTAGTCGCGAAAATACAGACGCAAGATAAAAGAAAAACAGACGAAGAGGGAAAACGGGAAATACGCGGGAAGTGCAGCCAAATCGCCAAAATTTTCACGCGCAACGATTAGCGAGAATAAACAGCGTAAGTAGCGGAAAAGTGCAGTTCAATTGCGGCGGTAAATGCAGAGTGCAATGCGCCGGAAAATTTTGCATAAACTTTTTGTGAAATTTCAAGTGCGTTTGTGTGAGTGTGCAGCAGCAGCGAGTATGTGTATGTGTGTGCGAGTGCGCTGGTGTTGAAAAAATCTATCTCTTCGCTACGCATTTTCACCCCCCGTTTTTGCGTATTTGATCTCTCTTCCTCTTCTGCTGTATCAGCATAGCCGCCTGCCTCAGTGTGTGTGCGTATGCGTTCTCTGCTTTCGTTTTTTAATTCTTTGTTTATATTTACGTATAGTTTGTTTGGCGGCCCCTGTTTTATTGTTGTTACCCGATGGTGGATGCTCTTTCCTGTTTTGATTTATAGCCCGTGTAAAAATAGTGAGCGATTCCGAGACCTGATTCTGAAAAAGCTTTCGTCGTCTGCTTTGCCACCACACCATCGTTAATCAAAGTGCCATAATTTTTTATGAACACCAACAGACTATCCTTTCTGAACATCGCGAAAGAAGTATTTTTCGTATTGGTAAACTGTAGTGTCAAAATGTGCGAAGTTCTCTAGGGAATATATGGCTCAAGGTCTTCGGATAGCGTGTTTTTAGACCTCAGCTTTTTATAAAAAAATTCGATTCCAAAAATAAAATAATTTACGCTTTATTTTATGCTGTATTTTTCCTTTCCCTGGAAAAGTCACTTACTACTTCACATAAATATTTATAAATTAATTAATTATTATTTAACTTGATGAGAACAATTTTTAACTTTTCCTTTTAAAATTAAAAAATAGTAGGAAAGTTACAAATATCTTTTAATATTATGTAAACTTAGGTCAAATACGGTTTCTTTTGATATAAAATCCTTTTGAAATAAAACTTTTATTATGATAACATAATTTTCCCACATCTGGCGGCTAACTATATTATTGCACCTGTTCTAGGCTGATATCTTGATTGTTATGTTCATAAATTTGACGTAAATTGCCTTATTTAGAACCGCAGGCAGTTGCTCGCATAAATATCTGAGCCGCATTATTTGTTTTGCCTACATTTGCCTTTCCTCTGGGTTTTCCGCTCATTCGCTCTTAACTTTTAGGAGATTTTCCCTCGAAACAGTTTGCCCCCAGTTGAATTTTGGCGCTCGCGTTGATCGGTTGTGCATTCGGAAAATCTCTTGTTTGGCTTTTGGAAAATGTGCCGTGCAAAGGCGTGGGTTTATTTTTAGCCAACGTGCTGATTTCCACATTCGCCGTGCTCCAAATCGGATCGAGAATCGACAACAGCTAAATTAATTGCTCATCGCCGGGCTTTAAGGTCTTTCAACAAAGAAGGCAGAGTTCCAGCAACCTTGAAATACGTGGTTATATAATCCCGTCTATGAAAGATTGAAATGCCCAGCAAATTTCAGAGGAAAAGCTCCCCCGGAGGAGGAGGTGTCGGAATGGGAGGGGCATCCAGTGTTTCCTCTACGCCAAGTAATCAGCCCCGGAAGCGGGTGAAAAGGTGCTGCCGGAACTTCGTCACCTTTATGTGCACCCAGGTGGGCGTGGGAGCCCTGATCGTTTTCTATGCTATTTGTGGTGCCTTTGCTTTCATGCACATCGAACGGAAGTTCGTGGACGAAACTTCTGGCCATGTGCTGGAGCTGCGACAGAATTACTCTCAGCAGCTGTGGAACATCACGGAGAAGCACAATACCATTGATCGCCGTCTCTGGACGGAGGCCACGAATGCGGTTCTGCGTGATTACCAGGCACAAATAGCAGGGGTCGTTAAACACGGCTATGTTGGACGAAGTCCCGAGCAGATCTGGAGCTTTCCGGCTGCCCTGATGTTCTGTCTCTCGGTCATAACCATGATTGGCTATGGCAACATGGTGCCCAGAACTCCGTGGGGCAAGGGATTGACCGTTATCTATGCCACTTTTGGAATACCCCTGTACATCCTGTATTTCCTGAACATGGGACGAGTTCTGGCTCGCTCATTTAAGTTCCTCTATCGATCCATGCACGACTGCACCCAGGAGCATCCCCGACTGGATCGCCTGGACGCCCTCGAGGGTGGCATCGCCATGTCCCGCAAGAAGATCATTGTACCCTCGACCGCTTGTCTTTGGGTGATATTCTTTTACGTTCTTACTGGCACCGTCATGTTTGCCAATTGGGAGAAGTGGAGTTTCCTCAACAGCTTTTACTTCTGCATGACGTCGCTGTGCAAGATTGGATTCGGAGACTTTGTTCCCGGAGCATCGCTTACGACCACCGCGGACGTGAATGCGGCGACCCATAAGCTGCAGGAGGATATCGCAGCCGATCCTGCCGAGCTCGACCATCTGCATTCCGTGGCTGCCGATCAGCACTCCAAACTGGCCATAAACTTTGTGTACATGCTGCTGGGCATGGGCCTGGTGGCCATGTGTCGCAACCTGATGCGCGAGGAGGTGCGCCTAAAGGCGCGCGAGATGCGCGAGGACGCCAAACTATGCATGGAGGACACTAGGCTGCGATTTGTCGGTTGCTGTGGGAACCCACGTGATGCCTACGAGGATGATTATTATTAGGATTGGAAATCATGGATGAGAGGGGCGAGACCGAAAGTTTTCGATTAGTGAGGCTTTTTAAATTATGTACTTTAGATTTGGAACATAGCTATCAGAATAATCCACGAATACGATTTAGGAATTTTTAGATGTTAAACAATAGAAGGGAATGTATTCAAACAAATAGATATTTTATGTTACGGACATTAAAACTAGGAAAACACTTAACTTTAGATTTCTGTTTTGCAAGCTTTTGTAAGAACTTAGTTGGTGAAGAATATTGGATGAGTACCTTGTTTGTGTGACTGCAGTTTATGTTATCATCCCTTCTGCTAAACAAGTTATCATGTCGATCCGATCCTGCAGCTCACCATTGATCAATTCCTGCAACTGCAAGAGCGGATCCGTAACTTCGAGGGCATGCTTGGCGGCGGCAGCGGGGAGCGTCTGTGCACGCCAAGCACTTCGGCCGGTCCCTTCCGCATCTTCTCCGTGGCCGGATTCCAGAACCGGGCCAATGACATCGTCTACTGCCCGCCGATTGTGCGTCAGCACTCTGTGCACGTGCCGGAGGACTCAACAGCCATCATCTACTTTGGCGGTGACGTGCAGGACTTTCCGGAAAGCATGGAGACCAACCGCGACAGCAGGGGTTACATGAAGTACAACCTCGAGAACTCGGCCATCCTGCTGCGCGAGGCCTTCCCGAGGTCACACATCATCGTTATCCGGCCAGTGCGGTAAGTGTTTACAAAATACGCATATCAAATATATTTTTTATTTTATTTTTCAATTAAAACCTTTTTCCTTTTCAGCATGGAGTTTAAGACATTCAGCTGCTTCGACAACTTTGTGAGGGGCAACAACGCGGGAGTACCGGATCACACGCCCATGAACCACGCCCTCCAGCACCTAGAAAAGTGAGTATGGTGTGGACTCTAAAAAGAACCCTCTTTAACATCTCTTGGTTATCCCTACAGACTACTCCAGAATCTGTCGCAGCGTCTGATCTCCATACCCGAAAACGAGATTCTCGATCAGGCCGCTCAGGCGGCGGCAGCTGCGGCGGCGGTGGCTGCTGCTGCTGCGGCCGCCGCTCTGACGCTATCCAACGCCACGGTCACCTCGGAGTCCAACTCTCAATCGGCACCGGCCAACGATAGCAACCAGGAGATGGACATTGACATATTGCAGGTGCAGGAAAACATCACAGTGGATGCGGATGGAGCTGTTATATTTCCTATTGTGGGCGACGAAACTCCCGAGCCGGTGAACAACGTATCCGGCAATAATGGCAACATTGGCGGCGGTGGCAATGACGAGAGTGTAAACAACCACCAGGTGCAGGTTAACAACCAACAACTGCAACAGCAACAGACGGCGGCGGCCATAAAGATGAATACTCCCACAACGGCGCTGAATGCCACCAACAACGTAGAGCACTACAACAACGATTGTTCAACGAGGACGGTTCCTGCTGCCACTGCAACATCAGCCTCGGCAACTGCAACATCCACATCCACGGCAACAAGTGACAGCAATCCGCTGTGGTGGCGGGAGAACCTCAATCTGGATAAGTCCAAGCTGGTGCTGATTGGCTTCAGCAAGGGCTGCGTCGTGCTCAATCAAGTGAGTCGCGTTTGGTTCGTTAACTGGTTGACCCACTCGCCACATCGCCTGCAATCGCTATCAGAACTTTCGACAAATTTATAAGATTCTGGAACGCTTGTGGGAATCACCTCTTTGACCTTTCTAATCTCCTATCTCTTGTACTTTATAGTTCATCTACGAGTTCCACTATCTGAAAACCCTGACTCCCGATGACAGCAGCATGTGTCGCCTGCTCTCCCGGATCTCGGACATGTACTGGCTGGATGGCGGTCATGGAGGTCAGAAGAACACCTGGATCACATCCCGCAGTCTGCTGGAGACACTTACGCGCATGGGTAAGTGCAGAGAGTCTATTACAAAAAAAATCAACTAACATTTTGCGATTCTTAAGCAGGCATGAACATCCACGTCCACCTGACGCCCTACCAGGTGCAAGACGACCGCCGACCCTGGATTCGCAAGGAGGAAAAGCTATTCACAGAGATGCTGAGGAGGCTGAATGCACCGATTACCCGGCACTTGCACTACGACAACCAGCCTGCGAACCTGATGACCCACTTTGAGGTACTTCAGGCCTTCTGCCAGCATGTCCATGCCCTGAATCAGCAGCAACAACAGCTCCAGCAGCAACAGCAACAGGGAGTGGGGATCAGTGAGCAGTCGGCGGCGACAGTGGCCACCAACAACGGTAGCAACAGTCTGTTGGAAGCCGGCGAGGAGGCAAAGTGACAGCTGCAACTGCATCCGCACCATCACAGGCGTCGCTTGCACGCGATGCGCAAGGGAACCGCCGCCCTCAAGCGTAAGCAGGTGGCACAGCTGCGACAGCATCACCAACAGCTACTGGCCGCCGCTCCGGAGCTCGCGCTGGCATCATCCTCGCACCTGGCTGCGGCCCTGATCTCGTCGGCCGTGGCATTGAGCACCTCGTCCGCGAGCCTTGTAAATAATCATCAACACAGCCATATGCAACAACAGCAGCAACCGCAGGCGCCTCAGACGCGCCATCATCACCATCAGGCAACATCTCACAGGCATCACCACCACCACCACCACTCACATCACCACTCGCACCCCCACCATCATCAGTGTCGCTCGAAACGCAAACTGCAAAAATTGTATTATACGCTTTGCCGTTAGATCAGTAACTTAACTATATCTATGTATACTTGTATGAGAGAAAGTTTCTTAGAACCACCAGCATCAGCAGCACCTAGCTTAAGTCAATTCGCACACCCCACAAGTCCATTTTAACTGAGTTCAGTCTTTCTTACCCCCTTTTTTTTGTATATGTTTTTATTTATTTCCATTTTTTGTCTAATTACACGTCTCATTTTTATAATTGGCCCTTAACTGGAAGAACAATCTCATCAGTGCAATAATATACATAAATCTAAAAATATATATACATTTATATATGCTGATTTTAAAATCATCTCTTATTTTATACAAACACTCCAACTATTTATTTGTAATTGAAAAAGATTTGTGATCGCGCACATGATATAAACTTCGTAGAACATCCACTGTATTTGTAGCGTGTCTCAAGCAATTCTCTTCTTAAGTACCCCAAGGAATTTATATATCATCTGCACACTCACATTAACCTAAACGGCCTAGAACACATCCCACAAAGCCCTCTGATTAAGTATTACTTAGCGTAAGTTAGCTTTACTTTAAGTTGCAACTGGCAAGAAAACACAACAAAATGTACTTTACTTAGGTCGATCCTCAGTTTTGATAGCAAACTGGGGGGAAAGTATCAAATTTGTGAGACGAGACAATCTTCTCGTCCAGGCATAGTATACGTAGTTTTTTCTGATTGTGCTGGGCAAGTCAAAGAAGTACTCAATGCGAATAAAGTGAATTTTGACAAGTCAGATTCGAAAAAATAATTGTAATGGCGCGCGTTCCTTAATCTATATATGTATATCGATATGGAGATCATTACCGCTTCCGCTTATCCAACAGACAAGAAAAAAACATGAAACCGAGTGAATCCAATTAAACTTATAGTGCATAGAAGGGAATAATTACACAACATTTCGTACCTTTGTAGAATTTGCAGTTCAAAATTGCTTTAGAGTTCGTCGGTGTAAATTTTATGGATTAAAATGCACAACAATTTTTAGGCAAGAAACCTATTAACTAAAATTACAGATGTCATACCACATAAATGTGTATGTAGATATAAATTGAACATTATAAATGAAAACACTTGCGAATTTGAAACCAAAAAAATGTCAACAAAATCAAGAAAAGTCTAATAGAGTTCCCAATGTAAATCTACTGATTTTTGAGAGTCTGGAAATAAAAATGAATAAGCATATATGGATAAAACAATCACAAATTTGACTTCTCATTTAAACAATAACTGTTTTGGACAGTAGTAAAAATTGTTTTTGATTCAAATTGAGCCTAAGAGCTTTAAGTGAGAAATCCCGAAACGTTCACATAATGACATTTCTTGGAATTATTTTCATTTATTCAATCTACTTATTTTAAAATAAATTACAAATCTATTGTACTCGTACAAAAAATATCGCTTGTGATGCGCCAGACAGCTTCATCCTTGAGATTGTGTCCTGGGTGCACAGGTGTAGGTGGTGGAAGGTTGGATCTCTGGATCTGGAGAAACCCAGCCTGCAACTACGCACAGACGTTGGGGCATTTGGCCGCCGTGCTCCACTCGTCGCTGCCGTCACAGCAGTCGCACACGTGGTCGTTGATCCGGCTGCTGGCCACGTAGACATCCAGCCCCCGACCGGTAATATGGCGCTTCTGGTAGCGGCAGTAGAATCTTCCTTTTGCACAGGCATTTGTGCTTGGCTCGTCGCTGCCATCCTCCTCGCAGTCGCAGTAGTTGTCATTCAGGTGATCGAAGGGGATTTCCTTAGAGCCATCTAAACAACGGAATTTGCCCTCAAAGTTCGGCTTGTAGGCGTCGTAGTCGAAGAGCCGAGTGCCCCTGCAGGATTAGCCACAGGATATATATCAAGTGTAAGCAAGTAATCTCTCACCTTCCTACCTAACAATCTTGATGGGCTCATCGTTGCCAGCAACCGAGGAGGCGGACTCCTCCGCTGGAGCTAGTGCATCCGCTCCTCCGCCATCAAAGTCATCCACGTCGCGCTGCTTGCTGCCCAGCGACTGGATCATCTGCTGATGCTTCCGCTTGATCTGCTGCAGATTCCACGGAGCGGGAACTCCGGGCAGCTGGTTCAGCGAGAAAGCCTGACATTATCGTTTACTTATTAAACTTGGCATTAAGAAATCCTTTCGGGCTCACCTGATACGCGATGAAGGATATGCCGACCAGGAAAATGAGCAGCAGAAACATCTTAGACTTCTGCTTGTAGAAGGGCTTAAAGTATATGTTTTCCCGCTTTACCCACGTTTTACGCATATTGATATTGTCTTTTGTCTCTGAAAATGTTCTATGTATAAAAATATGTTTTGTTTACGAATCTGCATTGTTGTTGGCCATGCTTGCGTTAGTCAACACTGTTCCGGTGAGCAACAGGGTTGCCAATGTTCTCTGTAAACACCATTGGTGGGTTAACGTCTTAAAAAAATTTTACATGATGTGCAGACTTCTCAAAAAAAACTCTCGAGTGTTTTATTACCGTGTTTTAAGGCTATATGACTTGCATATTATATTTCCAAGCTAAGTTACAACAGAGTTTCAAGATACAATCTTCAAAATAAATAAAAAAAAACAGGCGATATCTGAAAAGTTAACTAAATGAAGTCAATCATCCACCTTTATGATCATTATATAGCAAACACCGTTTATTTTTTCTTTGTATAAATAGTTAAAATTGAGAAACAGATCTCAGATATCAGCTCTGGTGATAGGATACGGCCATCTCATTTTGCGAGCATACATACATATAAGATTTCGATCCAGGAATTTTTTTTCTTGGCGACGGCATGTAAATGCAGTAAACATTTGAGCACAAAGCTTGTAAAATCGGAGATAGGTGGAAATGAGGCGCGAAAGGAAAATAAATTAATTTAGATGGAAAAGGAATGGTTTTGGCAGTCTCGGAAGGATTTAGGTGGCCTTCAGAAAGGCCTCATGCTTGTACACTTCGATCACGTTCTCAATAATCTCCCACTGATTTTCGCGAGTAAAGTCTTTAACTAGTGGCTTGTACCACATGGTGGATTCGTCGGACTCGTCGGTTAGTGGCACCTGAATGCCGTAGGTCTGGAGGGCCAACGACAGGCAACCGATGGCCACATGTGTAGGCTTGTACTTCAGTATATTGGCGCTGTGGTGGAAGTCCTGCAGATACGAAGCAGCTGCTTTGGCAATGGGCACCGAATTCCAAACCTCCGGGCCCACCCAGTCTTGCAGAGTCTTCATGTAGTGTAATAAGTACTAAAACATAAAGGATTAGGTATAGAGAAATTGTCTCAAATAAAGAACTTACCTTGTGGGCTAGATCTATGTTGAGATCAAACCCCAGGGTGCGAGTGATGAGCAATTCGGCCTGGACAATAGCGTCCCTCATCGACCAGTACTCATCGTTCAAATCCAGTGGGGCATTACCACGGTTGAGGGTGCAATATGCCACGTTGATAACGTCGCGTATCTTGACACTCTCGTCGTCCTTGATTTTTCCAGCCAAATAAAGGGATGAGGCAGCTATAAGCTGAAAATAGAATCGAATACGATATTGGGATGGATTTGGCTTTGAAGGATGGTGCACCTACGAACTCATCATAGTCACTGGCCTTGACCTCTCGAAAGAAACGATGGTATACTATGGCAGCACAGGCAGCAGTCAAGGGTTTCATTTTCAACTTGGCAGCACACTCGAAGATGTACATCGGCACTACGCCGGGTTTGTTGAGCTTTCTGCATGATTTTACAAAATTATAGATTATGTGAATTTTAAGAAAGGATTCCCAACTCACCGATAGTCGATGGGCTTCATAGTCTGCGCCTTGTTTGACTCCACGTGCTGCTGCAACGACATTACATCCAATACGTTTTTCATTATGCCAGGCTAATTGAACGAAAGGATGACGATGACAATATATTATTTTAGGCCCAGCGAGTTCGTTGACAGACGAGGAGTAAATAAAAGCAACGACTGATTGTGAAATGAGTGAATGTAAAATAAAACTACCGAAATATCGAGAGGCGACAAACCGGTTTAATTCGACTGCAGCAGCGTAAGGAAAAATATGCAACGCGATCAGGAAAACTAACGGGGCCGGCGGCACGTCAGCTGTTCGATTGGGATCCAATTAAAATGGTGGACGGTTTGTTTGTTAAAAGACCCCAGTCTCACTCCTCAAGTGTCAATTCAAAAATAGTACCTGCAAACAACAGACAAAACAGCTGTTGGCCTATACAGTGTTGATAAGGTGCAACAACTGTTACCAGAAGACATGTAATAATACATTTTTCCGCCTTTGACTAATTTAAGTACTCTTTATTAAGGGTTTTATTAGATTTATTTACATTTAACTGAGTATTTACGTAACTGAGTAAGCAAAGCTTTACAATCTCTGCAGAAAATATTCGTTGCACAGCACTTGGTTTTTTGAGAGTGGAAGCGGTAGAAAAAGTTACACTACAAAAAATAAATAATAATTTTAAATTAAAAGAAATACATATATAGTTTAATATAATGGGTTAATTATATTATGAAATGACATAGTGTAATTTAAATGAAACCAGTTAACTAGGTCTTTACTGTTTATTTATAGCTACTATTATATGTATATATTTTTTAATGATACATATATTCCGGCAGTTTTTCTTTTAGTAGAACGATAAACAGCGTGCGATATGCAATAACTAAAAATCGATAGCGTTCCAAACACATCTCCATCGCCGCCAGCTGTTCCACATTGCTCCCCACACGCCCCCTCCGTCGTATACTTGTATTATCATTGCAAAATCCAAGTGCAATAACAGTTCATTAGCCAGCCAAAATAGAACTTGCGTTGCAACCAGGCAAAAATGGATCAATAAAGCAATAAACTGCAACCGCTAATTGGATTCCCTTGGGCGCCCAGCCACAGGAAACGGAAATTGCTGCCCAGCTAGGCCAGCGAATAGTTTGCGAGATACACAACAAAGACGCAAAAAGCGGAGATGAAGTCGACCAAAACGCGGGCTGCGCGTCTTACCAGCTTAACGGAGGATGTAACCGTTGTTCCGGAGGATGCGCCTTTCCGGGCGCGCCTCCATATACTTTTTGCCCAGATCGAGCGGGAGTTCGAACAGCTTTATCTGGAGAACCAGACCCGTGAGTACTATATACAAGTATACAATTTTTGAAATCAATGCTTAAAGCTTGAATGCTTAAAAATGTATTTAAAATAATATTTTCACAAATAGAATTTTGCTGTTCGTAATTTTTCTGTAAAGAATTTTGATTTTTTTCGCGGCCTAAGCGTATTTGAAAAGCTCCTTCTAAATATTATTTTCTCTACAGTGCAGGAAAAATTGGAGATGGCCACCGCCACTAAGGAGTCTGCAATACAGCAGGAACCACGCTCCACAGGAGGAGGATCACTCAGCGCTCAGGCTTCTTCTACCGCCTTGGCCACGCCTTCCGCTCAGGCGGATGATGTAGGCGGCAGCTTTCTGGCAGCCGCATCAAGCACACACAAGAGTCTCAAGGCCAAGCTGAGTAGCGCTACCGGTGGCAGCAAGGCGAAGGCCAGCAACAAGATCAAGGCCCAGACCAGTCGCATTGTGTCCAGCTTTAAAGCCCCCACAGTGGTTAGCACAGTTGTACGCGAGTTTGGAGGCCACAAGGACGGCATCTGGCAGGTAGCCGCAAAGGCAGGACAGCCAATCATCGGCACCGCCTCCGCCGATCACACCGCATGCATCTGGGGCGTGGAGAGCGCAAGGTGTCTGCTACAGTACCAAGGGCACGCCGGTTCCGTAAACTCAATTAAGTTCCACCAGCAGCGGGATCTCGTGCTCACCGGTAGTGGCGATGGAACTGCACACATCTGGCAGGCGGCCGTTAATTGGGAAGTGCCCAAGTAAGTACTTCGAAAAGCATTTGTGATTTAGGAGAAAAATGGTTTTCTTATTATGTAATTGATATTTTAAATATTTTTATTTAATACACTTTATAGGTTTGTTGTATTTAATTAACGGCGTTCTGTTTTTCAGGAAGGGTCATTCTTCGGAGGAGGAGTTGGACGATAGCGATGAGCAAGTTGAGGATCGTGACCGAGTGGACACCTTACGAACTCCGCTCTGCGAGTTCACAGGTCCCGGGGGTCACCTCTCAGTGGTTGTAGCCGCTGACTGGCTTTCTTCTATGGACCAGATCATCACGGGCAGTTGGGATCGTACTGCGATCTTATGGGACGTGGAGACGGGTCAGCCTCTGCAGCCGCTAACGGGACACGACCACGAACTGACCCACGTGTCGGCACATCCTACCCAGCGTCTGGTGGTCACCGCATCTAGGGACACGACGTTCCGTCTGTGGGACTTCCGAGAGGCCATTCCGGCGGTCTCGGTGTTTCAGGGACATACGGAAACGGTTACTTCGAGTGTATTTGCACGGGATGATAAGGTGGTGTCCGGTTCGGATGATCGCACAATTAAAGTGTGGGAACTGCGCAACATGCGGTCCGCTTTGGCTACCATTCGCACGGATTCTTCAGTTAACCGACTGGCTGTTTCCAGCGGAGGAATAATCGCCATACCACACGACAACCGACAGATTCGGCTATTCGATTTAAATGGACAGAGGGTGGCTCGATTGCCACGCACCAGCCGACAGGGACATCGACGAATGGTGTCTTCGGTGGCCTGGGCAGAGGAACCCTTGCTAGACTGCGACCTCTTCTCTTGTGGCTTCGATCGACGCGTTTTCGGCTGGTCCATCGTCCTGCCCAAGGACAATTGAAGGCGGCTGAAACGGAGAGCTGCTCCAAAAGAGTGAGGAGGTGCAGCCCTGCGGAATACAAACATCTCTCGAACAAAGCATCGTATAGCGATGCTCATACTTACGTGTAACCGTTTATCATAGATCAAGTATTATGCAGGCATTGTTCAAGATGTTTTACTATCTAACAGGTCGGATGAAAAGTCCCCGGTTTACCATAGTAAAAAATTTTTTTTTTGCAAAATTCAATTTTATTATTCAACATAGTTGCCTTCGAGGGCGATACAGCGATTATAGCGATTTTCCAACTTTTCGATGCCACTTTTGTAGTACTCTTTCGGTTTATCCTCAAAATAGGCCTCAGTTTCAGCAATCACTTCATCATCGGTCTTAAATTTCTTGCCAGCGAGCATTCTTTTAAGGTCCGCAAACAGGAAATAGTCGCTGGGGGCCAGATCTGGAGAATACGGTGGATGAGGAAGCAATTCGTAGCCCAATTCATAAATTTTAGCCATCGTTTTTCCAGACTTGTGACATGGTGCATTGTCTTGGTGGAACAGCACTTTTTTCCTCTTCAAATGCGGCCGTTTCTTTGCGATTTCGGCTTTCAACCGCTCCAATAAAGCAATGTAATAGTCGCTGTTGATTGTCTGTCCCTTCTGGAGATAGTCGATGAATATTATTCCATGCGCATCCCAAAAAACAGACGCCATAACCTTTCCAGCCGACTGTTGCGTTTTTCCACGCTTTGGATTGGGTTCGTCGCTTGCTGTCCATTCAGATGATTGACGATTGGACTCTGGAGTGTAGTGATGGAGCCATGTTTCATCCATTGTCACATATCGACGGAAAAATTCGGCTTTATTGCGCTTAAACATCTCCAAACACTGCTCCGAATCATCAACTCGTTGTTGTTTTTGATCGATTGTGAGCTCGCGCGGCACCCACTTTGCACAGAGCTTTCGCATGCCCAAATATTCGCGAATGATATGATGTACACGTTCCTTTGATATCTTTACAATGTCTGCTATCTCGTTCAAATTCATTTTACGGTCATTCAAAATCATTCTATGGATTTTTTTGATGTTTTCGTCGGTAACAGCCTCTTTTGGGCGTCCACTGCGTTCACCGTCTTCAGTGCTCATTTCACCACGTTTAAACTTAGCATACCAATCAATGATGGTTGATTTTCCTGGTGCAGACCCCGGAAACTCTTTATCAAGCCACACTTTGGCTTCAACTGTATTTTTTCCTTTCAAAAAACAATACTTTATTAACACACGAAATTCTTTTTTTCCATCTTTTCAACAATAACAAAAGTAGCTTCACTCAAATCGATATAACTCCCGAACTAATTGTCCGATTGCTGTCAAATTTTGACACGTATCGTTTGAAGGTTGGTACTGAATGAAAATCATATGGAAAAAAATCTAGTAAAATCTAGTATGGGTCAGACCGGGGACTTTTCATCCGGCCTGTTAGGTGTCGCCCTCTGAGTGTAATTATCGTTGCTTTTTGCCAAATAGTCGTGGCATATCGTGCTGCATGTACTACATATTATCATTGTTATAGCATAAATGCATTGGAGTTGGGACTTAGGAATCGGTGTGCAGAGCTTCCGACGTCCAGTTCCGATTTTATCTGTGTTTTACTACCATAATACATATTATAGATGTCTAAGGCATTAACGTTTTAGCAAACATGAATAAACATATTCAACTACCCGTTTAATCACTGGTATATCCTAAAACATTATTTTGAATTCGGATTGAATTCGTTTGTATTAATTAAATAATATATGTATCAGCATTTATTTTATCATTTTCTTATATACAAGTGGTTTAACTTATCTTAGGCAAAGTATTCGTAACGATTAATACATGTACATATATAGTCCTTCGCCCTGATCGTGGCCATAATTTTGGAATAAAATGGAACCGCTCACAAATGAGCAAACTTTAGCACCAGCAATCCGATTAGAATGCCCACCTCCAGCAGAATAATAAGGATTAAAATGATCTTGTTGTAGAGCACTTCCCTGCCCAATTTTCGAATGATTATTCTTGATTTCGACAGATCCTGATCGGCGTCTTCCAGGCGGCGGGTGGTTCGGAGTAGCGACTCCCTTTGTTCGCCCAGTTCACCTAGGACCTAGTGGTTGTAAATCGAATTAAGTCAATTTTTCTAAATATCTTTTCAGGATATTAACCTCGGCCCCCATGGTCTCCGTTTCGATTGCAATCTGGTTGGACCGCTGGATGCTGTCCGTTGTGCGCTGCAGTACATCATACGTGCTGGCCGAAATCTGTGCCTGCCTGCGCTCGTGGTCGCTGCCACTTGGCAGTTGGCTATAACCAGCGTAGGACATAATTTCAGAAGTTTTTCAACAAATTAAATGCGTTTTAGTGGGGCTTCAAAACAAAACAAAGGTGGTGTGTGACCGTAGTTTAACCTCCACAAAGAATTCCAAAACGGCTTAAAGCAAGGTACTAACGCGTGATCTGCTTTTGCAAATGCCGATGCCACCTGTTGGCCCTCGAACTTTTCACAACACTACTTTCAGTTAACATTTAAAAGTTACAATTTTTTTAAACTTTTTTGTTTCTACATTATTATAAGTTGGTAAACCTATAAATCATAATTTGCATAAACTTGTATGGAAGAGCTTTGGCTGTCACCTTTGATTATACTGGCTTACCAATCGTTTTACGGAATCCAGAAGTTTGATTAATGAATTACCCGATTTGACAAATCTTTTTTTTAAACGATTACTTGACCATTTTTTCCGACAGGAGTAGACATAAGTGTTGATACCCAGAAATAGAAACAGTATAAATTTATCATTCCCATTTTAGCGGAAGATCGATCGATTAAGGCAGCTCAACCCCTTACAGTTGCTAGGCCTCCAAGAGCGGCGATTTATAGCGCTGACAAAACCAAAACAAACAACTGTCAATATCAACCTGACTTATCTAGACCAGGGAATTACTTGGTTGAAGCGTTATTAATTTAAATTGATAACGGAGAGGCGGTGGCTACGCAATGCGGACATTTGTACATACATATGTAGCACTCGAGGATTTTGACTTTAGTACCGTGTATTTGTCGATTTCTGATTTCTGATAACGACCCCTGATCATACTTAGTTGGCATGCCCGGTAAGAGAGTGAATGCTCGAGACAGTTGAGAGCTTAAACGGACCCACGGGACCGACGAGACTGCCTCATGCTTATTCTACCATAATACTGAGGGTGTGAGTTATATAGAGTGAGAGATATGGGGAGCTGATTTGCGAGGCTCCCAAGCAGCAGCGGCGAATGCCAAATTTAAAAGCAGGCGATCGCTGACGGTGAGCAGACGTGTGCTCCGCTCGATTCAGGTTCCGATTCAAATAAAGGCACTACGGATACGGATACTCTCGCTCGGCAACAAACAAGTTCTAAATTTATCGCTCGCACTCGCGGGGAATCGAATCTGGTGTCTTTGGCATTAAAAGCGTTTTCGGAGCTGTGAAGGTAAGCGAAAAACTCGAAAAACCCAACGGGTTCAAGGTGATCTCGGGTTGAGAAGACAGTGTGCTCTAGGATTATCCCCAGAAACCGTAGAGGAACTAATAGAGAGCACGTGCTTTGAAAGCTGGCAGCATTTGCAATGTAACTTAATTTGGATGCACTTCGGCACGTGATGCTAGCTAATGACAGCTACTAGTTAGAAAGAGTGGGGTGCGGTGGCCCACCTGTCATGGGACCCATTGTGCAAACACCTGCCATAAGTCACAGCTAAAGTCAGAGCGCAGATACCTGGCTACCGTAGCGCTATCTCTTTCGGAAGCCCGCGAGTATCTCTCAGATACTCAGATACGCACCAACTTTCGCAGTATAAGTGTTAGTATGAATACTCTCCAGAGTGTCTGTGAGTCGCGCTCTCTTACAGAGTCGCGAGTTTTCGAGTTTTATGCAATCATATGGGGCTATCATGTGATCTTCCTCGGGGTTCTGCAGCTTTGCCTAGAAAAATCTTTAGCTGAAACAAAAAGCTGAAAAGCTGAGCTCAAGTAGTTGCAAATAACACACAATAAATTCCAGTCGATTATGATTTATGGATCGCGCTATAAATTTCTCGAAGCACTTCCCATCGATCAATCAATTTCTGCTGATTAGCTACAGCCGCAGACCCAGTTTATGAATGGAAAATCTGAACGCTTCTAGAAATCTATCAGTTCCACATCTCAAGTATAGTATTTGCTGCACAAGTGCTCGTCTAGGGAATTAACTTTATAAAGCCTGCACTTGAGTTGCCGATCTCCAGTTGCGTAACTCCATAAGCTTATCGGCATTGGGCAGCGATCATTACACTGCAAACGCTGTATTGTAAAACTTATGCTATTATGACTTTAGTTTTTGCATGGAAATTTTTGCAAGTTTTAAAGCTTAAATATATTCCTAGGGCCTAGGCCTAATAGCTAAACCTTTTAAAATTTTAAATACATAGTGCAACCGAATTTATTAGCAAGCTGCCGTCTTACAACCTTCCGGCCATAATTTCGTTTATAATTCCTTTGCCATATGGGTATAATGATTTTTGTGACGCATTGAAGGCGCCATCAGAAAACGTTTTAGTACAAATATCTTTACTCGCAGTAAAACAGTTGAGGAAAATAAACTGAATTGACAATTGGTGTTAATAAAGAGATGAGTGTGGTCTGTTTTTTTTTCTCGATCGCCTCCATTTGGGGACTCACATTGAATTTGTTCGTTTGCTTGTGCCTGCGAGTTCTTAATTACCCGCAGTGGAAAAATGGAATTGTCATAAAAACTGAGCGAAAAGCACAATAAAAAGTAGAAGTTATATTCGTGTTTTAATTAACAACAAATAGTGGAGGGAGAACAGCGAATAGGAGAGCAGAAGAGGAGAGTGATAAAGAGAGAAACAAACAAAACAGAGTAAAATTTAACGAAACTTCGAAGCGTAGCGATATTAGCCTACGCATACATGGGCGTGCGCCCGCTCCCAAGTCGTCAAAGGGGGTGTCAATGTCAACCGCTTGTTCGCTCTCTGGTTGACTCTCCCCAAAATCCGCCCTATCCTCCCCCTCCCCCAGAAACTCGATTAAATGTGATTAAGGCTCACCCACAAGTCGCGTGTGTCAGTCAGGAGCAAAAACAACACCAGCAATAGCAGTTGCATATGAATACAGTGGAGCATCATTAGTTAGAACAAGTCAATTATGTATGTATGTATATTCCAAAACTATTAAAGTAAACACAAGAAAATACAATCAAGAATAGCTTTCAAACTATAACTGGATTTGGGTACACAAAACCCAATTATAAAACTATTATAAATTTTACTTAATTGAAGTTAACCTGTATATCATGGTAGCCTACACCCACACACCCGCACGCAAGGCTAGAGTCCACTCACGAAAGTGACCAGCAAAGCGAAGAGCAGAGAGGCGTTAGGAGAGAGCGAACGGCAATAGCAACCGCGCTTGGCGCTTGGTTGTTGTTTTGAAGTTTTACTGGTTTACAGTTGGCAGTCGTTTCAGCTCTCATTGTTTTTTTCGTGTTCGAGCTGTGCGTGTGAATTGTGGTACTGTGATATTGGGCAATAGCAATTAAAAATTCGAACTTTTGTTAAATTTATTAAAACGAAAGTGCGCTCGTGGAATCGTTAAACAGCATTTAGGCAGGCAAGTTACAGTCAAAAAACCAGTTTTTTGAAAGTAATCGAGTTTGTTGTGTTCTTGTTGGAGAGGTTACGAGTTTCAAGTGAATTGCTGGCAACCGAATTAATGTTTTCTAGAGTTTATAATGCGATTAAGTAAACAATGTTCAAAAAGATAGTATGTTCCTCGTACCAAAAGCAACAACATAATGATATTAAATCCAGCACTATACATACATACATGAAAACAACAATTAAGAACATAGTCGTTATTAGGTCATGAGTAGAAACTAATTTAAATTTCAATATTTAATGCTTCTAAAGTTAAGACACACCACATGTCGTTAATAAAACCTGACCGTTCCCATGGTTTTAACCAATTAGGTATTTAAATTGCGCTAATTATAGTAACGTATACCAAATGGCATTGTTAATTTAACAAGAAGCCGCGTTATATTAGTACCCGCTCGACAAGGATTTCCTCTACGCTTCTGTATTGGCTATTGGCACACGCCAATGTCAACTTAATAATGCAATAAAATAGTAGAAACGCAATTGGCCGGCAAACATTCTAAAATGTACTTTAACGATCCGAGAACGAGCCATATTCATAATTAATAATATGAGCAATTAGAGCTGTGAATTTCACGACTCTGCTATATTTAGCGAATTGTCGACAACCAGCCAACGTTTCTTGGTTATAAAAAGCCAGAGAAGAAACAACAAAAGTGTCAACCTACATAAATGTCGAGCTGATAAAAGTGTATGCGGAAAAATGCTGAAATTGCTCAAAAGATATGACGACAAAGGGAAGCAACAGGCGATAGGGAGCATCAAGTGGATCGAGTTGTACAGTCACAGTCCCATTCCACTGAGAACTTGATATCCATAAGCCCTGGGGGATTTTATAAACCTACTGCTCCTATCCGACATTAGCTACTGCTTATGCAACTCAATTGGTGGATGAACCTTAAAGCACTTTAAGCACCGACTGTTGGGCTATTCTAAACTTTGAAATAATTCTTATCTTATTTTGTTAGTGAAATTTCAAAATGATTCAACGCCTATAAAATAACTGTCGATCCGGAAACTTCAGGGAATTCATGATTAAACATAATTAATTACATATGTCTAATTTAAGACTATGAAAAATAAAGACCAAGCTATTATCGTAAATATTATTGTCCTTCTAAGATCGTTAAAGATATTTTTGGTGCAGTGTTCCTATTTTGTCTTTCACGATGAATAGACTGTATTTCTAGTGTTTTAGAGCACACATTTATACGTATATATTAATGTGTCCACATATAACACATCGTACGTTTAATATCTACCGCAAAAAGCAAAAGCTAATTCGCTCCTGTCGGGGAATGAAAATGGGAATTTTGCTGGGATCCGGGGACCGGGGTCCCATTAAAGTTCGATAATGTGCGAGGCTGACGTCGCCGTGTCGTTGACTGTTTGGTCCGATGATGTCACAACAAACCTTGGTATCGTCTGTGTGTACACTGCGAAATGGCGAAATGCTCTTGAGTGCAGACACCACAACGGGGACAACGGACTAATGCCCTTCCCCAGGACCTGCCCCACCCCGAAAACCCCAGTATGTGTCATTCCAGAACTCACTAACCCAGCCACAGACGCGTCAGCGACCCAATTAAATCAGAAAAACAGTAATTACTTGCATTATCTGGGTTCCACCGATTTTGGGAGAAGTCAACTCTATTTGCACATGGCTGGGTTGTTCTTGATAATGTTACAATTATCAGTTGATTTGCTTAACCATAATTTATATTTGTTCTTTTGTAGGGACCCGCATATGTTTTTGAGGGTCTTATGTGGTTCAATTGGCTTAAGGAAAACTCTCTACAAAATGCATTTACAGTCGGCATAGCGATAAGAACTTTTTTCGGGCCGTAAACAATATTGCAGCGGGTCTGGAGATAACTCAAGCAAATAAGTTAAGATTGCGAAGAGAATATATAAACTTGCAAGCATTTACCCTTCTAGATAACCCACTTTAGAAAATGCCATTTCGGAAACAGTTGTTCAGAATATTGTATCATATACATCATAATAAGATTTCCTGCAGGGTTTTAATTGAAACTCAAATGATGTGCTTTAGTGATCCGGATGCCATTTGTGTTTTCGCATTCTTATTTATTTCCTTTAAAAGGGGGTTTATATAATCTTTAATTTGTTCAGCAAATTCACTGAAGAAAAGAGTACTCAACGATCCGTTTGAAGTTACGTGATTTCGCAGTTAAATGGTTGTGTGTAGAACGTGACAAGGTGTTGTAATTGAGAAACTAATACTTATTGGGTATCTTAATATATTGACTCTCTTGTTTAACACATGGTGGGGTTTCGGCCAAGTCCGAGCGCCATATGGAGCTGAAAATAGAGTGATTGCCTTTCTACACCAGAGAACAACAAAGAAAGACAAATAAATAAAATCATTCGCAAAGCAAGCCAACAAAATTTGTACATAAATATGTCGGGTTGAATAGCGGGCGAAGAAGCACTGACCAAAAATTAGATTGTTTTTAGTTAAAATCCAAAAACAATATAAAATATATTTAAAACAATTGAGTAAAGTTAAAACCAAGTGATCACAGTATAGTGGCTTTTAATCTAATCAATATTTTTCTTTTCACTGCAATTAAAACTTTACAATCGCAATTGTTTATACTAGTTTTCCCCAATGTATTTACGTTATTGTTTATCGTATACGATATTCTGGCCCAGACAAAACATTCACTGAGGGCGAAAACAAATCGCGGTGCTGGTTTTCCTTATTTTAATTGCTCGTCTGCGGAATGCCGTAACTAACCCCACTCCGAACCCCTCTGTTTGCCCACAGGGAACGTAAGCAGTCGCCAAGATGGGGGACATGTTCCGTAGTGAGGAGATGGCACTCTGCCAGATGTTCATTCAGCCGGAGGCCGCGTACACCTCCGTATCTGAGCTGGGCGAAACCGGCTGCGTGCAGTTCCGCGACGTAAGTACGGATTGTCTTTACCAAACACCCCAACTAACCAGACGATGTATCATTTTGCAGTTGAATGTGAATGTGAACGCATTCCAGCGGAAGTTCGTCACCGAGGTGCGTCGTTGCGATGAGTTGGAGCGCAAGATCCGCTACATCGAGACGGAGATCAAGAAGGACGGCATCGTTCTTCCCGACATCCAGGATGACATTCCTCGTGCGCCCAATCCACGTGAGATCATCGATCTGGAGGCTCACCTTGAGAAGACCGAGTCGGAGATGATCGAACTCGCCCAGAACGAGGTGAACATGAAGTCCAACTACTTGGAGCTCACCGAATTGCGCAAGGTGTTGGAGAACACGCAGGGCTTCTTCTCCGACCAGGAGGTGCTCAACCTGGACTCCTCCAACCGAGCTGGTGGCGACAATGAGGCCACCGCCCAGCATCGCGGCAGGCTTGGCTTTGTTGCCGGTGTGATCAACCGGGAGCGTGTGTTCGCCTTCGAGCGGATGCTGTGGCGCATCTCCAGGGGAAACGTCTTCCTCAAGCGCTCCGATCTAGATGAGCCGCTGAACGATCCGGCCACCGGTCATCCCATCTACAAGACCGTCTTCGTGGCCTTCTTCCAGGGCGAGCAGCTGAAGAACCGCATCAAGAAGGTGTGCACTGGCTTCCACGCTTCGCTGTATCCATGCCCCAGTTCGCACAACGAGCGCGAGGAGATGGTGCGCAATGTGCGCACTCGCCTGGAGGACCTGAAGCTGGTCCTCAGCCAGACGGAGGATCACCGCAGCCGTGTTCTGGCCACCGTGTCCAAGAATCTGCCGTCGTGGTCCATTATGGTCAAGAAAATGAAGGCCATCTACCACACGCTGAATCTGTTCAACATGGACGTGACCAAGAAGTGTTTGATTGGAGAGTGCTGGGTGCCCACCAAGGACTTGCCCGTCGTCCAGAAGGCACTGTCCGATGGATCTGCTGCCGTGGGCAGCACCATCCCCTCGTTCCTGAACGTGATCGATACCAACGAACAGCCGCCGACCTTCAACAGGACCAACAAGTTCACCCGCGGCTTCCAGAACTTAATTGATGCCTACGGAGTGGCCTCGTACAGGGAGTGCAATCCCGCCCTGTACACCTGCATTACCTTCCCCTTCCTGTTCGCCGTGATGTTCGGAGATTTGGGCCACGGTCTTATCCTGGTTTTGTTCGGCGCTTGGATGGTGCTCTGCGAGCGTAAGCTGGCACGCATCCGCAACGGTGGCGAGATCTGGAATATCTTCTTCGGCGGTCGGTACATCATCCTGCTCATGGGTCTGTTTGCCATGTACACGGGTCTGGTCTACAACGATGTCTTCTCCAAGTCGATGAACCTGTTTGGTTCGCGTTGGTTCAACAACTACAACACGACCACAGTGCTGACAAATCCGGCACTGCAGATGCCGCCTAATAGCTCCGCCATTGGAGTCTATCCCTTCGGAATGGACCCCGTGTGGCAGCTGGCCGACAACAAGATCATCTTCCTCAACAGCTTTAAGATGAAGCTCTCGATCATCTTTGGTGTACTGCACATGGTGTTCGGTGTGTGCATGTCGGTCGTTAACTTCACACACTTCAAGCGCTACGCCTCCATTTTCCTGGAGTTCGTGCCCCAGATCCTCTTCCTGCTGCTGCTCTTCGGCTACATGGTGTTCATGATGTATGTCTATCTATGAAATAATTATTTTGTTATTTTATTAAGTAATGTTTTGCCTTTTAGGTTCTTCAAGTGGGTTACCTACAACGCCAAGACGAGCTTCCAGCCAGAGACACCCGGCTGTGCTCCATCCGTGCTGATCATGTTCATCAACATGATGCTTTTCAAGAACACCCCGCCGCCGAAGGGATGCAACGAGTTCATGTTCGAGTCGCAGCCACAGTTGCAGAAGGCCTTTGTGCTCATCGGCCTGGTTTGCATTCCCTGGATGCTGTTGGGCAAGCCCCTCTACATTAAGTTCACCCGCAAGAACAAGGCTCATGTAAGTCTCCTGAAAGCTGCTTAATCTAACCTTGGGAATAATAAATTTTCTTTGGTAGGCCAACCACAACGGTCAGCTGACCGGCAACATTGAACTGGCCGAGGGCGAGACACCTCTTCCCACTGGTTTCTCTGGAAACGAGGAGAATGCCGGAGGTGCCCATGGTCACGATGATGAGCCAATGAGCGAGATCTACATCCACCAGGCCATCCACACCATCGAATATGTGCTCAGTACCATCTCGCACACAGCCTCCTACCTTCGTCTCTGGGCTTTGTCCCTGGCTCACGCCCGTAACTATTCCTTATAGTTATGTTAAGATAAAATGATTAACCCAATATTATTTGCAGAGCTCTCCGAAGTGCTGTGGCAAATGGTTTTGTCGATGGGCCTGAAAATGTCCGGCGTTACGGGTGCCATCGCTCTGTTCATCATCTTCGGAGCTTGGTGTCTGTTCACCCTGGCCATCCTGGTTCTCATGGAGGGCCTGTCCGCCTTCCTGCACACCCTGCGTCTTCACTGGGTCGAGTTCATGAGCAAGTTCTACGAGGGAATGGGTTACGCCTTCCAGCCCTTCAGCTTCAAGGCCATTCTTGACGGCGAGGAGGAGGAGTAAATCCTGCCGAATGTGCTCAAGACTAGGAAAATCTATGCATACAATTATCAACGAGCATTGTTTATCCACAGCCCAAACTATTTTGATTGTTTGTTAAATGTTTTTGTTTTGTTTATTTTTTTTCGGATATTGTCAGTATTGTGGTGCTCTTCCCACATTTTTGTATCCTCCGTTTTGTATTCCATCTGTTGTTAAAGTATTCCTCACTTAAGTTGTGCCTAGTATTCTCAAACACCGTTTCGAAAGCAATAATTTGATATTCATTGTTATACATGACTACTTATAGAAATACTAATTGTAATAAATATACAGCAAAGAAGAGAAAGTCGAAAATGAGTTATATAATGGCCGCGGCTCCAACAGAGTCCCTTCCACCCACACCCGATCACAGCCAGATCACCCGATTCTAACCCATGCAGTAATCCGGTGCGTGTGATGAGGCACTGGGCTTTCAAGTGCAGGCTATTGGCCATTTTTGGATAAAGCCATTATCCGGATTTTTGGCAAGGGGGTACATCAATCAAATCCAAATTAAGTATGCAGTTTGCTCAGCATTTTTATCAGAATCATTTTAAGATATGCCAATTCGAAATCAAACATCAATTAAAAAAGTTCTTAAACTAATAAAGAATTGTTTATTGTATCGCAGTTTGCAGTTTGTACAGCATAATTTTGGGGTCTTATAAGAATGGTTTCGCAAACGGATAGATAAAAGTTTTTGTTTACTTTTAATTAAGTGGCTACTATTTACATAAGTTGCTATATTTGTGACTTGTGTGTGAGAAACTGGAAATTGATTTGTAATTATCTGACAATTGGTTTTTAATTCCAACTGGTTGAACACTACAACCAAGGCAGACTTTTAACTGATAAGGAAAATACTATGAAGTTGTGGAGGGATATCGGAATGAAGGGAACGGACATTTCATCAGGTTGATGGATGGCTCTATTGGGCACCGAGTTCCCCAAATATTTATCCAAGGCAGGCGACTCGCCACCGTTGATAAGACGGGAAAGTTGCTGGTCGGTCAGCATTACCTGAGAACCTTCCTCGTCCAAGTCAAGTGACCAGACCGATCAGTTCGTCAGCGGCGCTCCAAAAGTGCGGAGCCCAATCCGGAATATTGTAAATAGAAAAAGGAGCAACAGGATCAGGCAACATGCCCAAGTGGTGGAGCTGCGGCTCCAATCAGGAGACCAATAGCATTTTCCGCAGCGAGGTGATGTCCTTGGTGCAGATGTACTTGCAACCGGAGGCAGCTTACGATACGATTGCCGCCTTGGGCGAAGTGGGATGTGTTCAGTTCCGTGACGTAAGTATTTCTAAAAATTAAACTTTTTAAATATAACAGAAACTGGCAAAACTACAAGTTACCAATTATATAAACTAAATAATTTTCCATTTTTTTAACAGCTGAATGAGAAAATAAACGCCCAGCAGCGGAAATTCATAAGCGAAGTAAGGCGATGTGATGAACTGGAGCGCCGCATTCGTTACGTGACCTCCGAGCTGAACAAGGAGGGTCACCAGGTGCTCGACCTGATAGATGACTTCCCACCGGCCCCGCAGCCGCGTGAAATAATTGATCTGGAGACTCATCTGGAGAAGACGGAAACGGAGATCATGGAGCTGGCTGCTAACAATGTGAACCTGCAGACCAGTTACCTGGAGTTGAGTGAGATGATCCAGGTGCTGGAGCGCACCGACCAGTTCTTTTCGGACCAGGAATCGCACAACTTCGATTTGAACAAGAAGGGCACTCATCGCGATCCGGAGCAATCGAATGGCCACCTTGGATTTGTGGCCGGAGTGATCAGCAGGGAGCGGGAGTATGCCTTTGAAAGGATGTTGTGGCGTATTTCCCGTGGCAACGTCTTCGTTCGCCGCTGCGACGTGGATGTGGCCCTCACGGATCCCAAGACGGGCAATGTGCTTCATAAGAGCGTGTTTGTGGTCTTTTTCCAGGGCGATCAGCTGCAGGCCAGGATCCGCAAAGTGTGCACCGGCTTCCATGCCCACATGTATCCGTGTCCTAGCTCGCATGCCGAGCGCCAGGAGATGGTGAAGAACGTGAAGACCCGCCTGGAGGACCTTCAGGCCATCATTAGTCAGACAAGTGATCATAGGACATGCGTCCTGCTGGCTGCCATGAAACAACTGCCCACTTGGAACGCCATGGTCAAGAAGATGAAGGGCATCTACCATACGCTGAACCTGTTCAACGTGGATTTGGGCAGCAAGTGCCTGATTGGCGAGGGCTGGGTGCCCAAGCGTCAGCTGGAGCTGGTGGAGGTGGCTCTGGCCGCGGGCTCAGCCAGTGTGGGCAGCACTGTGCCCTCGTTCATCAATGTGCTGGACACGAAGAAGGAGCCGCCGACCCATTTCCCCACGAACAAGTTCACGCGCGGCTTTCAGAATTTGATTGATGCGTATGGATTCGCTGGCTACCGGGAGGTGAATCCGGCTTTGTACACTTGCATCACATTCCCCTTCTTGTTCGCCGTAATGTTCGGCGATATGGGTCACGGGACGATCCTCTTCCTTCTTGGCTTGTGGATGGTGCTTGACGAGAAGAAGTTATCCAAGAAGCGAGGTGGCGAGATCTGGAACATCTTCTTCGCTGGACGTTATATTATCATGCTGATGGGACTGTTTGCCATGTACACGGGCTTCCACTACAACGATATCTTCTCCAAGTCGATCAATGTGTTTGGATCCCGTTGGGTAAATGTGTACAATCGAACAACTGTGCTGACCAATCCTACGCTGCAGCTCAGTCCCAGGGTGGCCACGCGTGGCGTTTACCCCATGGGCATCGATCCCGTCTGGCAGTCGGCCTCCAACAAGATCATCTTCCTGAACACCTACAAGATGAAGCTGTCGATCATCTTTGGAGTGCTGCACATGGTCTTTGGCATTTGCATGTCGGTGGAGAATTTCGTGTTCTTCAAAAAGTATGCCTACATCATTTTGCAGTTCGTGCCCCAGGTGCTCTTCCTGATGCTCATGTTCGGCTATATGTGCTTTATGATGTTCTACAAGTGGGTGAAGTACAGCCCAACCACGGACGTGGAGGCAAATACCCCCGGATGTGCGCCCTCTGTGCTGATCATGTTCATCGACATGGTGCTTTTTAAGACGGAGACCGTACTGCCAGGCTGCGACGAGAATATGTTCCCCATCCAGAAAACTCTCGAGATGATCTTCTTGGTGGTGGCTATTCTTTGCATCCCTTGGATCCTGCTGGGCAAGCCTTTGTACATTAAATTCCAGAGACGCAACAGGGTAAGAGGTTGTGATTGGAATCGTAGACGGTTTTTAAAATATTTATCTCTTAGCCCGCTGGCCCAGTGGTTGAACCAGACGAGATTGTAGAGAAGATCGAGGTCACCACAGGCAAGGAGATCATCATTACGGAGGTGGCTGAAGCTCACGAGTCGGGCGGACACAGCGAGGAGGATGACGAGGATATGAGTGAGGTCTGGATTCATCAGGCCATCCACACAGTAGAGTATATCCTCAGTACCGTATCGCATACGGCCTCCTATCTGCGTCTGTGGGCTTTGTCCCTGGCTCATGCCCGTAAGGTTCTTCTGGTTCCACAATGATTAAACTACTCACAAAGTCACTAATTTCAGAGCTTTCCGAGGTGCTGTGGACCATGGTGCTGGACATCGGACTGCAGATGGATGGTTATGTGGGCGCTATTGTGCTGTTTTTCATCTTCGCCATTTGGGAGTTCTTCACCATTGCTATTATGGTGATGATGGAGGGTCTCTCCGCTTTCCTACACACATTGCGTCTCCACTGGGTAGAATTCATGAGCAAGTTCTACGTTGGAAACGGCTATCCGTTTACACCCTTCTGCTTCAGGGACATCTTGATCGTCGTCGAAGACGATTAGAAGCACATGGAATGACCTCAGTGGGTCCCTCAATTAAAAAAGTTTAATAAACGAAGCAATACAAAATATATTTGAACGTGTTATTTATTAAAAAATCCAGTTGTTGAAAACAATTGTATCTTTCTTTTTTTAAAATCAAAACCAATTCTTCGCGATTTCAAGTATTGAGAAAAATTTGTCTTAAAGTTAAAATTACTTGGTGTTGCGGCGAAGGGATAGTTCCCATTCCAAGTCATCGACAATTTCACTGTTAGGAAATAAAAAAAAGTTTAAAGTTTAGATTGTACATGTTTTGCAATGAGTAATTTAAGGCAATAACTTACATGGCATCCCGTTCGACATTTTTAATAGCACGTAAGTCATTTGCCAAAGATTTTTTTTTGATAAATAATTTTTTTTTTTTGGTTATCAGCTCATTGGACTTTGTTAAGATCTTGGTGCTTATCTCGCGCCTCTCTTTCTGTGTGTCAATAATGCGTTTCTTTAATTCGTTGTACGACTAAAATATTATGAATAAAATGAACTTGCTTATATATTTGCATGGGATAAGCTACAATCTATTCTTCTAAGCAAATAAATAAATATTTATCTTGAGTAAACAGCCCTTAGGCCTGGCTGGAGGCCATCTGTAGTTAAATGATTTTATAGAACATTACCTACCATCGCGGTAAACTCGTCGTAGGGACTCTCAGATTTTAGAGCCTCCCTGGCCTTTATGATTTCCTTGCAGTGGTTCGAATAGGCCTGACAAAAGTTGTTCTTTTCACCAATCTGCCGGTTGAGCAAAGCCAAGATATATTCCTGTTTAGCACTCAGATCCCGAATTTCGGATAGAACATTATGAGCTGTGTTAAAATGGCTTAAGAAGCTCAAGGTTTCGTACTTCTCAGCCATCAGCATCTCCATTTGTCTCTTCATATTAGCGATTCTTGCAGCGCTTGCAGCATTTTCAGAGCGCTGTAATTAAATCACAATTACTTTAAACGGGATTACAAAAGGGTACCAGGACTTGCCAATTTAGCCAGGCTTCTCTCAACATAACCGGTAATTTCTTCTTCCCTCTTTTCTTCGTCGTTGCTGTAAGTCATTATTGCTGTAGTTTTCGACCCTCAATGTATATATTAAATTTGTTTAGGTTTTTTTTATTAGTTCCTTTAATTTGTTAAAGCTTTGACGGTAACGTTACCGTCAATAAAAGGCGGGACTAGTGTTGCAAAATTAAAATTCTATTTTCGATTGCAGTCAACAATTCTTTCTTTGGTACTTATCGATTAAGTTATTCAAAATAGTTTTTAAATAACACTATTCGTTTAGTGTAGATAGACATAACAAATAGATTGTTTTATTTAACTTATATACAATTCCAAAATATTTTTAGAAGCACATTTTTATTGTTTTCATTTATTTGTTTTAAAAGATTGATTGTAATTAAATCGTCTACAGTTATCGATGTTGATGTTGTCTGACTGCGGGCATTAAGGGGACTCGACCCGGAGAGAGACTAAGCAAGCGCCATTACGGCCCATAACCATGTTTTCAACCAAATAATTGATTTTTTAATCGAACCGTTTTCAGTTACACCGTTTAAATGTTTAGTTCGAATTTTTGTTTTTCAGTTCTGAGTAACGGGTGTCTAATAATTGTGGAACTCGAATGTAGCGGTCTTTCTTGTTTTATTTTAGAAGGGCAAAACAAAATCTTCAATCCCTTGACAGCTCGGACGTGATCATTGAGTAAGAAGAAGACCTTAGATTGCCTTGAACAACATACAAATAACTTAATCGCCTATGTCCAAAAAAGTTATGGCCATGGTTTCCCGACTTCTAACAAAAACAAACCGTGACCGGGTGCGAGGATGTCCAAGAGTATGGCCTTTGAGGTCTAACCCCAACCTTAGTGGGTCACCTTACGGTTCATTGATAAACGCAGCATTCCAACCCACGGCCCACTTTCATGTGGGTTTGGGTTACGTTGGCGGCGGATCGCAAAAAGGTCATCACATTGAGGGCAGCGCTCAGCGGAAAATTCTTGCGTATTGCAGCGAAATTCTGTGGAAGTTGAAACAAACGGGGAGTTTATTTAGAGGTGGTCATTCTAGAAATCCGGTCAGTTGTGGAGCCATCTAGCAGCGGGTCGGTCTCCAATCATTCTAACCGAACCTCCAATTCTGGATTAAAGTATGTGGTACCTGCGCTTGGCTTTGGTCTTGGTCAGCCTGGCGATTGTTTGTTGGGCGGACACCTTGGTCCAGCTTAATGTGAATCGTCCCTTCAACGATGTCAACGAGAAATTCGTGAGTTTTGCCGTAAAGCCAGAGGACCTGTATGATGCCTTGGATGGTAAGAATCGGAAGGGGGTCACCAACCTGGCAAATCTGCTTGGGGATGCCCATATAAAGTTCGTGGGCGACTTCTATTTTGCTAGTAATGCACCTACCAGGCTGCGAAATCCTAGCAAGATCATCTGGAAGGGATTTAATCGATGGACCCGGTAAGTTTGAAGTTTACTCTTTTTATGTCCTTTTCATCATTAAACTTTCTTCCGAAGTGCCGTAAACTGGACCATGATTATTCCGGTTCCATATGCTCCCGATGAGTGGGACTCGATGCACACTCTGAAGATCCTGAACACATCCTATATGGTGGGCATCACCGATTGCATCTGGCAGCTGGGCACAAGTTTTGGCACTGCCAGGGCCAAGGATTACATCCAAGAGCTTCGAACCCTTAAACTGATGACGGATACATTTAAGCCCTATGTAGACGACTGGCGGTTAATGGGAGCGGACATTTCAGCAGGAAGCAGTGCGGATGAAACCAAGAGATACGTGGACATGTCCAAGGATCTAAATGCAGCCTTTGGTTGGACACAGTAAGTTGTTTTCTTCTTCCTATTTTAATAACCTCATTATACCTAGTAACTTCAATACAAACTTATGATTATTTCCCTTTTTTTAAGGCCTGCCAACATGTTGCCAAAGACGAGTTTGGGTAGCTACCTGTACGACAGCGATCCCGCCCTGCGCGTTCTGCAACAACAGCGTGTTCCTTTGTGGTTGACACTGCCGGAGGAGAGATCCTCGCAAAGATTGGTCGGCGATGAGACCACGGATGCCCTGCGATGGGCCCAAACAATGGGCGATGCGGCCACCAGCGGTTTCGATGTGATCTTCAAGCGGATGACCTTATTGGACTTTGAGCGCCCCAACTTCAGTTTGTATGTGACCGCGCTGTTTAAGAAGGTTATGGGATCAAGGGTGTTCCCTGCCCTACCTCTGAATGTTTTTGCGCCGACCAACAAGTTGTATACCCATTGTGCGAATGCCGTATCTGGTGGATTGGCTTTCATGGTGGTCAATACGGAGGAGCAGCCGACTACGATTACGGTTAAGAGCGCCAAACTGACAAGTAGCGAAATTTGGCAGTATGTCCTTACGGGCTTGGATCAACGCGTCCAGCTGAATAATGTTCCTTTGCATCTAAATACTACCTTGCGTCCTTTGATTAAACCCATCGACCCAAGTAAGCCACTGCAATTAATCACACCCAGCATGTCGGTGAGTTTCTGGGTATTACCCGATGTCAATCTGGAGCACTGTCAATTCACGGAAATCGAGGCAGGCGATTCAAGCGTGGAATCCTCTAAGGAAAAGACTCGTACTTACAAATATAGTTCCGCCGATCGGTTGCTACAGCGATTAATCGAAGAAACTGCGGTTGCAAAGGGATCTGTTCAGAGTTCCATAAATCGCAGTAGACGATTTGTGCCCAATAGTCAGGAGACTCCAGATACCCTTCTCGATCGTCTTTTGCAGCATTTCAAGGATGTGGGTCCCGCGAAGAGGGAATCGAGTGTCACCAATGAAAAGGTAAAGCCCCACAAAGCTTTGGCCTGGTTGTATCAGGTCCTTGAAGAAACCCGCGATGTAATCAACAAGCGATCCAAACGTAGCACTTCCAGCTATTCGGGACCGTTCTTCTACAACCGCCAAGGTAAAAAGACAGCAATGACCAAGAAGATTACTGAGATTCGTAAGCCAGAAAGGAAAAGCAAGCCCCTCTTCGACTTTGACGAGTTCGATGAGGAGAAGTTCTTTAAGCCTGTAGGGGAGAAATCGGAGGAAGTACCTACTTATACACGACTTCCAGAAGGTGATGTGCATCTGAAGCACATAGAGAGTGTTGATGGTGAGGAGAACGAGCAGGAAGCTGAACAAGAAGTGCCCAAGAAACGTAGAACCAAGTCCAGAAACCAGCTGAAGATCATGCAGCGTGCTGAGGATAAAGAAGATGAACAGGAGCAGGAAGCTGAGCAAACAGAAGGACGTGGAAAGTTGCGTCTCCTGCCCACGGAATTCTTTGAGGCCTTGCCTGCTCCCAAACCAAGTAAGCGACTGAATCTGGGAGCCACCTTGAACTCGCTGCTCTTTCCGGAACCCTTCTCCAGCAAGGCCACCATGGCCAAGGGTACGCAATTACAAGCCAAGCCAGCTGAAGAAGCCGAAGTGGATGTGGAACCAGTGCCAACTGTCAGGCGACGTCACTCCAAAATAGGTCACGTGGCCAACGATTTTTTGCAGGCCCAAAAGGAGTTGGGAAAGCATTTCCTTAGCCACATCAACGAACATGAACATGAGTTTTCCCTAGGCGATGAGGCATTGCGGGAAACTTCGCTTGAGACAGGAAACCCGGAAAAGAAATCTCCCACACAAGACCTTTTTGGAACCAAGAACGCAGCCCCAACTCTGCACAAGAAACTTCCACAGAAGGTAGCCGACGAAGGAATTACTTCCTGGTGGGATATTCCAGCAATGCGAAGACGTCGTGCGATAAGCGAAACAAATTCTCTAAACGAACTCCGCTCGAATGCAATCGATAAGTCAGATCGCGAGGAGATGTTGCCTCTGGGAAGATATACCTTCTACGAGTACAAAGTGGATCAGGATCCCGAGAAGGACATTACCCAACCCACAGAGGAGAAGGAATCCACGATTATGAAAATCGGTAGCAAGACGCAGACTTCTGGCAAGAAGCACAGTATAACACATCTCTCCGACAGTCTTGTAAGCACAGTAAAATCAAAGGTGAGCCGCTTCATTAATATCATCTCCAACCATATGAATGAGTGGTATAATACGTTGACCAAACACCTGGAAACGGAAACACCAACCCAAAAACCTCGCAGGGAAAACTGGATCGAGAAGTAGAAACATTTGTATTACGATATTTAAATAACTTGTGTAAACTATCAGCATTAAAATGTAATGTAAATATTTAATTGTGTACAACAAAGTGATTATTGCATTTAAATGACGCTTATTTGATAGATAATTTTTGGGGAATTATCTCATTCAAGTAAAAAACGCAGGACTTAGACAACGAACTAGAATGGCTTTAGATAAGCTTATGCTAGATTGTTGAGCTATTAATATTGTACTAGCTCATGAATTACCGTATGATAAAATAAAGAACCAGAAAATAAATAACTACTTACTTTTTAAATTGTTCTTATTTTCTCTAGGAAAGTTATATCATTTTTATAAGATTACTTTCTTTAAGGGGCACAACTAGTGTGACATTTCAAAAAAATCTTTTTTTTTTTTCTTTCATATTTTGGTAGATTACACCTTTAAAAATAACATATTAAAATTTCAAATCGATATCTTAAATAGTTTTTGAGTTATAGCAATTTTAAGAGCAGCCGCTCGTATAGCAGTAAATACGATCATTTTATCTTTAAACGCGTTTTTCTCGAAACTGCATTTTCCGAATTTGCTGCAGTGATAACTCAAAAACTAATGATCCGATCACTATCAAATTTTTTTTAGATGTTCTATATATAGTCCTCTCTACAATGACCTATCGGTTTTTTGATCCGATCAAAAATCGAATTTTGGCAGGCCAAAAACGACCAAAATTTTGGGTAAAATTCGATTCTTATTTTTTTAAACGCCGCCATTTTGTCAATTTTTGATATTTTTTATTTATCGTAGGTCATTGTATGGACAATATCATCTAGTTTAACGAGAATTTTTCATTTTTTGATTTCATCCACGGAGAAGGCCGGAATCACTGCAGCAGTTGGGGCACTTTTTTTTTTAGCGCCGTTGGAGATCGGCTCTAGCATAAGAAATATTTAATTTTTTTCTTTAAAAATTTTACTGTATATTCTTCAAACATGTATAAATATTGTAACGAACTGCTTTTATTTCTCCGCTCGCTACGTGAACGTGCGGCTAGCTCAGATGAGTTTGTGTGTTCGTCCCACCAAATTTATTGATGCGTAACCCCGAGACCAAAGTATAACACAGAGTTAGGTTAGATTTAGGAATACTTGTTGGGTTTATTGTACGTAGATTTATAGCTCGATATTTGGTTCGTGGTTCTGCTGTTTGATGACTCGATCTCCCTCGTCGACGCCGGTAGTGGCTCCCACGTCGACTCTACGGCGGTACGCCTGTCGTGCGTCCTCTGCCTTGCCGAGTCTTTCGGGCACCGGTCGCGTATTAGGCACGCTACGAGCCTCTCACAACCTTGGAGGATGTTAGGCAGAACCTCCCTAGCGGGGCTAAGCAGTGATGCCTGCAGTCACCACTCTTCGCTCCACCCCGGAGTTCGGTCGGGACTTCGTCGGCCTGGCCCTCAGCAGGTCCTCAATCTCTCATGAGCAACCGACGCCGGGTACCTTTCGCACAACTCCACTGGATCTTCGTCGGCCTGGCCCTCAGCAGGTTCTCAATCTTTCATGGGAAACCGACGCCGGGTACCTTTCGCACAACATCCACTGCCAAGACTCCACCAACTTCGTCGATTTCGAGACTCGTAGACGCACCCTACAACTTACCTTGTACCCTCGGGATCTCAGCTTGGCAGTCTCAGCTTATGTAGACGTGACCGTCGTTGGGCTTCTTGACTCGGCGATCTTGACTCCGGATTATTTGGCACTTGGTATTCTCCTTGGGGTTTCACTCGCGTTGGTACGATCTCGCTGCACGACTTCACTTGACTGTCCAGCTTCCTGCACGCGTCCTCCTTTTATATGCCACCCTGGTCCCGTTATTTCCCTCCTTCGGTGGCGTGACTGGGTCCACAGTGCAGGACAAGTGGCGTGATCGGGTCCAAAGGGCAGCACAAATCCCGTTAGTTCACGGTCTCTCCTCTTTGTGCTGGTCCAAAGTCCGCCAACTTCACCGTTATAACGGGTACAAAGTCCAGAACTTCACCGTTATAACGGGTACAAAGTCCAGAACGGTACCGTTAGTTCACGGTCTCTCCTCTTTGCGCGGGTCCGAAGTCCGCAGACTCACCGTTATTGGGTCCAAAGTCTGCAGACTCACCGCAGCATTGAGTCCAAAGTCCTTTGCACCGTTATTTCCCTTTTTATTCTGCACGCCGCGCATCCCGCTGTTGCTATGCGGCTCTCCTGCACTCAAACTTGTAAGGCGTTTTACAAACCCTTACAATATATTCTGAAAATTTGAAAAGAATTGATCAAGTAGTTTTTTTTATAAAAATTCCCAAAAATCACCATTTTTTTAGGCCGTCACACTAGTTGTGCCCCTTAACTGGCTCATGATAATCTCCAGTTACTGGAATAGTAATTAAGTATTGTTTATTACAGTAAAAAATTTCTAACCATAATTTTCTACATAATTGCAAGCTCGTTATTTGAGCCACATTACCATGGCGGAGCTTGCTGAAGCTCCCGCCAGGTGGCTTTTCCAGACCCACTTTTCCGCAAAAGCCACTCTCCAGATCTTTCTCTTACTGTTGGTAACTAGTTTTTCTCCTCCTCGCTTTGCTCTTTCTTTCCAGGTGAGCCGCGAGTGAAGACGGGCGCAAAGAGGAGCCATGAAAACGGCTAACCTGTTACCATGGCTATAACTGAAATAACAAAATCACCGCGACTATGGCAATACTAAACCGGTGGAGACGATCGCGCATTCTCCGCAGCCTCGGCTTTAAAGTCGGAATTCCGATTTCAGTCTCCGAGCAGTCGTTCAAGGCGAAGGTTGTGGCCAGCTTTTGAATCTTCCGATTTCGATTCATTCCGCAGACAGTCCAAAGTGCAGTCCACCAGCAGTGGCAATAAATTATAGATCAGCCAAGAGCCAAAAAAGAAAAACAGGTGAGTGTGCACTAAAAACTAGTCGGTGACTGGCGAAAATCAGTTAACAAAAGCCGAAAACAGGTCAGCTCTAGACTTCTTTTCATGGATCTTTTTGAGGCTGCATTCAGGGCGGGGTTCTTCGGGGAAGATCTGTGGGTTCTTAAGCGGCTCATGCAAGCGTAACCAGACTTCAGCCTTCGAGTCTCGAGGAAAGCACTCGGAAATCTTTGTGACGTGGACAGCGAAAAATAACAAAAAGAAAAAATAACCAGAAACCCAAAACTACATGAAACTTCAGACTTGCTTTCTTTTTCAACCTTCTTTCGTTTTGGCTGCCAATGAACTTTGCTGTCTGCTGTTTTTTCGGCGTTTCATCATAATAAGCCATAATTACGCACATGTGTGAAAGTGAAAGTGTAAGTTTTCACAACAGTCCCCCAAATCGATTATTTGACAGACTCTGATAAACGATTTGAGTTGTGAAAACCTTTCCTAACTAACCGATAACCCAAAAATTAAACCTCAAAACCCAAAACCAAACCCGTTTCGTCAAGCCCTAAGACAAACCGTCTGGCCTTCGCTACCACCGATATTATATAATCTGATTTGCATATTGACACGGATATACACACATGTAGTATTCACAACTCGGAATATTTGTAGGATGGGTTTCATCTTCGGTTTTCTGCCAACCGAGCATTATTTGCGCGACATCTTAATCATGACATTGTTGGCCGCAATTGTGGCCACTCTGATGAGCATTCGGTTCTATCTGCGAATTACATCTGGACGATGTTTCACCGAGGTAATGAAAAAACCTCCCCCAAAAGCCAAAATCTAAAGCCCACAGTAACCATGATTTCCCAAATTAAAATCCCCACGCCTTGAAATTGTGATGCGAACTGAATAATTCTAACTTTTGCTGTACTTCCACTTCCGCAGCAAATTCTTCCCTGACTTTGTATATACAGTCGGCATAATTATTATAATTGTTTAAATATATATATTGTTTGTATATATAGGTATATACTGCTTTCATATATATTGTTTACATATAATTTTTATGCCGACGTATAAAAGTTAAAACAAAGAGCTTTATTCATAGATTTGTTTATAGGTAGTTGGTCACTAAGCAAAGTTCATAGACACAATATTTTATGTCATAGTCGAGATTTCAATAACTACTCAAATTATTTTCGTAAAGCTCGGTCTTAGGAAAAGTTCTTATTATCTGGAAAAACCCAATGAAACTTATTAAATTCTGAAGCCTGTCATTAATTCTAAGTATGCCAAATTTAATTGCTACGAACTCACGGCTTGTTAATCTTTCCGTAAACTTGTTACTATATTGGTCAGTTGTGACGCGTCGACTTAATTACAGATTTAATTAGACACCTTTTGAGAGATGCAGGTACGTCAGATCTGTGAGATACAGTTACCACCTGACAGTATATTGTCTAAGCTTTAGTATCTCGGTTACAATCTGGGCGATCGCTTACCTGTGATTCACAGAAAGCTCTCAGCCGGACGGCAATTAAGAGCCCGGTTAATGGCTATAGAAACTAAGATACCTTCTGTTCCACACGGACTGCGATTACCGAGTCTGTGGCTTTGAGCGTACTAATTACTATTGTAAACATTTTTCCGAACACCCAAGACCCCGTAATTTTGAATAACGTCCCCGTATTAACTGATTAACCTCTGACATTTATTACAGACTAAGATGGAGGGCAAGACCGTTATCATTACTGGCGCCAACAGCGGAATTGGCAAGGAGACGGCCAAGGATCTGGCTGGCCGAGGAGCCCGTGTTATCATGGCTTGCAGGAACCTGGAGACTGCCAATGCAGTTAAGGGTAAGTGGGATAAAATAAATATAGAGTAATAAATTCTTATCTTTAATTTTCCAATTCCCAGATGAGATTGTCAAGGAGACGAACAACAATAAGATCCTGGTTAAGAAACTGGATCTGGGCTCCCAGAAGTCAGTGCGGGAGTTCGCCGCTGATATCGTGAAGACGGAGCCCAAGATCGATGTGCTGATCCACAACGCCGGCATGGCCTTGGCCTTCCGCGGTCAGACGAGTGAGGATGGAGTGGAGCTGACCATGGCCACCAACCACTACGGCCCCTTCTTGCTGACCCACCTGCTCATCGATGTGCTGAAGAAGAGCGCTCCGGCTCGCATTGTGATCGTGGCCTCGGAGTTGTACCGCCTGTCCTCGGTCAACTTGGCCAAGTTGAATCCCATTGGAACCTTCCCTGCCGCCTACTTGTACTACGTTTCGAAGTTTGCCAACATTTACTTCGCTCGTGAGTTGGCCAAGCGGCTGGAGGGCACCAAGGTGACCGTGAACTTCCTGCACCCCGGCATGATCGACTCCGGGATCTGGCGCAACGTGCCCTTCCCCCTCAACCTGCCCATGATGGCCATCACGAAGGGTTTCTTCAAGACCACCAAGGCCGGAGCCCAGACCACCATCTACTTGGCCACGTCCGACGAGGTGGCCAACGTGTCCGGCAAGTACTTCATGGACTGCAAGGAGGCCACCCTCAATGCCGCTGCCCTCGACGAGGAGAAGGGTCTCAAGATCTGGGAGGAGTCCTTGAAGATCGCCAAGATCACACCTCAGGACCCCAAGATCTAAATGGTTATCTGGGGTTAAAGGATAGTGCACAGCGCCCATGCGCATTTAACTGATTTGCTTTTCTTGTTTTTAAGGGGGAGTTTAATGTAGCCTAAGTTTTTCATCTCAATAAATAAAAATTTAAAATCTAATCTTTGCTTTATAGTATTAAATATTTTTTAGTTTATAAAGCTTTAGCTTGGCAAAGATACTTAGTGAAAAACATTTTGTTTGACCCCGAATTTAATTTTGGAAACTAACTGCAAGGTAAACCAATATTGAAACAGAAAATTAAATATACGAATCGCGTTAAATTGTTCCAACTGAGCTGGCTATCCTGGACATAATGTTTCGATTTCGTTTCATGAGAATTGCCGAGAACGACAAATCACAGCGCCAATCGGGAAGAGTAACCCGATCCACAAGGAAAAGGGAACGAAAGCGGGGAAAAGCCAAAAAATTCTCACACAAAATTTCGCCGGGCTCACTCACCTGTTGACGAGGGTGAGGAGGGAGGATTCCCAGGGGATTCCACCGGAGGATATAATCTGATAAAATTGCAGTCGCATCCTCGGCTGGTTGTCACCACATCTATATTATATTTGCAGAGGGAATTAGGGTTGCGGTTGTTCGCTTTTCGGTAGATTATTATCAGCTACTCGATGGGCACGTGACCTGCTCGGCGATGATGATAGTGCCGATCGGTGGCTAATAATATGTTAAATGGCGTAATTGAAATTTAATATTTATCCAAGGGATTACAGGATAATCATTTGCGGTTCGCCAAAATGGCATTAAAGATAACGGAGCGTGCGGCACCGCAGATAATTGAGGGACAAAACGCCCCTTCGACGCCCACAATTCGCTACTGTGAGAAACTAATTCATCAGCAATTAGATCTGCTCGCAGCATTTGTTTGCGGAAGTGATTCCCTAATAAAAAACAAACAGAGAGTGCATCTTTATTGCTGCATTGGCTTGTCCTTCAGTCAGCGAGGATGGTAACTCCATTGATAAGCGATACCAGTGGTGAACCCTTCTGGTTGGGAGCCCCTCTTTGTTTTTCCAAAGGTATCGCCTTACAAATTCAATTTGGCGCGCTTCACTCAAGTGTACTCACATCCCAAAAAGGACGAAAGGACATTGTTGTGGCCAAGTTCAGCTGTAATTCAAGTAGTTGTCTCCTTTTCTTGGGGGAGTCCTTCGGCCGTACTTACCATATATGCACTTCCACTCGAGGGTTTGTAATAAGTCGCGCGCATTTAATAAGCTGGCTTAGGTTTTTAATAAGAAGTGGGTTATGCGACAGTCCCGATCCCGGATCGTCCAGCTGTCAGGACTGCGGTTCGTCCTTCTCCATCCTGTCCGGCAAATGTCAACTGGCAACGGCTGCGCCTGTCACGCGGTCATCGATACTCTCCTTTTGCGAGGGCGTGAGTTGTCGGCCCAATCGCACTCGCAGATGTCCCAAGGACTCCATTTCGTCAACTTTACAATTTCCACTAAGCCCTATGGCATATCATAGAAACCATATAGAGTCCAGTAGTTGACAATCCAGTGATACCGAATGTTATTTAAAAGTAAACAAAATTTCCTAGTAATACTCCAAGCCAAAGCATTCCTGTCAATAACAAATTGTAATGGAAAGACATCCAAAAATAATGAAAAAAGTAAATTCTTGAACTGTCCATAACTTTACCAATTTTGGCCAGATTTTAAAGCACCTTGCCTTTAAACGTTTGTGATAGATTTCTTAATGGACTTTTAAAGCCTTAAATTTTACCAGTTTTTAATAAATTTTAATGTGGAATGTGGTCCATTTCTAGATCTTTGATTTTTTTCAGATTTTCTCCAGTTTTCAATTGTTTGCACAAAGCCACGTTTTAGATGTTCAATTAAAATTAGTTAGTTAGGTTTTCATTTTAAATAGGTACCCTCTGCTAAAATAAATTACTTTAAAGATAATGAAATGTTAAATAAACTACCAATAATTGCAAACCACCGCCATCGGTAACAATCCCCGCTTTTGGCCCATTGGTTTAGCTCGTTTTAGCCGGCATGGCATCTAGTATGACCGAATGGCATTAACATGTTGAATGACTTGAGTGGCAGCATAAAAAGCAAAGCGCAGCCGAAACCAGGAGAAGCCCCACCAGTGCCGCCCGAAAAGTATTTCATTGATTTTTGAAGCCTCGCCAATACACAACGGAATACAGAGCGGCGAAGGCAAAAGAAATGAAATGAAATAAACCAAACTGAACTGAACAGAACAGAACAAAAAATATACTCGGACGTATAGCGCAAAATGAAAATGAGGGAAATGTGTGTTGCTGGTGGCAACATGGAAATCTCGGGGAGGGATGGGATGGGAAATCATTGGGATCATGTCCTGCCATTGTTTGGCAACTCAAATACGCAAAACAAACAGAACGGCCACCGATGAGCCTCAATGCAAACAGTTCCACGTGCTGCGATAAGGTGGTTGATGGGCTGGTGTGATAACAGGTCCTTGGAGAGGGTGCCTTAAGATATATTTACCCAGCGGCTTTATTTGTAGCAAATTCAGAGAATCATTAGCTTTTGCGGTCAGTCGAGGGAGAAGCTTTTACCGCGCCAGTTTGATCAGCTGACACCTGAACACACCTGAGGACCTGAGGGATCTCGCTCTAATTGTTATTGATACCCAGATTGACTTGGCTACCAGCTACCTCAAGGAGCGGATCCTAATCCGTTCTGACAATCGGCAGCAGCGGAGACAGGCTCATGTCCTTAGCCAAGTTGTTGACATGAAACCGATACCGATACCGAAACCGAAAAAAAAGTAAACTGGTTCGGATCTGATCGGACTGTGGATCTGATTTTAACACACACGACGCTGGCTGGGTTTGACCTGAAATTCCCATCGATAAGGTAAGCCGATATGGGGGATATAGCTCGATATGTGTGCGATCAGTGCAAGCCTTTGCACTCAACTGATTTTGTCAATTGCTGAATTCAATTTTGGGCGTGTGAACTTTTTCTTTTTGCTGCGGATCGACTTAAAGACTTAAAGACTGTATTGCATTAAAGCCTGTGTAAATCTACCTACATCTGGGATAGACAAATATGTTTCACAATTTTTTTCTTCGCCCATCCATCTGGTTTGTCATTTATTCCCTGCTTTTTCTGCTGCAACCACAAATCGAACTATCAAATAACATTCAAACTATTCACAATTGTCGGCCCGGCGACAAGAGCATCGATCGATAGACAGTCGTCATTGGCCGCGCTACAACTGAGAATTAGCATCGGAGATACAAAGATACACGCAACAGAAGCAGATACAGACGGCCAGGTACAAAGATACAAGTTACAGAAGCAGTCAGGGGGTTGCCGACTTGGCCCAGCGGACTGCCTCACTTAACCACAGAACAATGGAGCGAAGGAAGCAGAATGCCGACGAAGACGATCAATGGTTGGCAAGTCCATGCCAACTACCCCTTAGCCCGCCCTCCGATAACCCTTGCACTGAGAGAAAAGTTGAGCTACTCAAAAATTCAATTGTAAAGGGAGGGTTTAATACTAAAAAAAACATTGTTTTTAGGTTGAGTTGGAAATATTTATTATTATTAATTATTTATTATAAAGATAAAATCTAAATTATTTCAAAATAAGAAACTTCTTAAAATACAACACTCTGGAAATAGTTTTCACAGTCTGACAAAATGCATTTTATTTAGAGAATGGTTCATGTTTGAATATATTGATCCATTCAACCTAGTTAAATTTAAATATCTTTCTAAGTTTTAAACTATCCCCACAGTTGTGAACTTATTCATATTTAATCTTTACATTTTTTATAGGTGTACCCTTTTTTTCCGCCTGTCTCATTGGTATCTGGTGTCGAGCTGTAAAGATATTAAGTGACAAATAAAAACTACTGAAAACTGCTGCCGCTGTTGCTCGCTCCTCAGCCGATGTTGCCGGCCACGTATGAATGGGCCTGAAACTCGGACTGGGCGGGATCGGCAGAGGAGGCGGAGGAAGTGGAGGAGGGTTGTGGATTTGGCAGAGGGGTAGTAGCCGCAAAAGCCGGTAGACGGAGCGCATTGGTTGGCCGACAACGATGACGGCAACGTTGTTGTGGTGGTGGATGCACGGCGATCTGGAGTGGGTATGCCATGGGATATACTATAGTATGGTATAGTGTGGGTATAGTACGGTATAGTATAGTATGGGGTGCTTCGAGCAAGGGTCTCTCGAGTGTGTAGTGCTGTGGGTACTTGTGTCATTATACGAGTATCTCGACTTGGGCGTGAGTGCGAGCGAGATTGTTGTTGCCACATTGCTGCCGTTGTCTTTTGCGCCCTTTTGTCGCTTGTTTATAATTAAGTGAGTATTTCTTTTTTTTTTTTTTTTGTTTGCGCCCTGCTTCTTCCTCTGTGGTTGTCGCTTTGCTGCCGCTCTGCCGATACGTCAGTCGATATTGGGCCGAGGTGCCTCGAACTGAAACTGACAATTAGTCGCCGTCTTATGCTCCTCGCCAAAAGTCGCTTCTTGCCCCGCACTCAACTCGAAAACTCAAAACTTGCACAACGGCTCCCAAATCAAATAGAAATATCTAATCGGTGAACAACGATCGTGTGAAAGAACTGCCGCGTCCAAAAATCATAATAACAAATTAATAAAAAAAAAGTTTAAAAACAAAATTTGAAAACCAAGTTCTAGTATCCTGTTCTGTTTGTGTTCTTCAGATCATGTTAATTGTGAATATATTTCAAAGGTGCGAAAATGGTTAAAATTAACATTGTGTAATCAGTCTGGAAAAGGTTTTAAAATTCTTGAACTATATATTTAAGCTCCATCAAAACAAACAGGATATAACAAACAAACTTATATTCTTCTGAATTAACTACAAAAACTTGTAGTTCATATAAACCCGTTTTATACATTTGAGAATTGGTTAATTTCAGTTAATCAAAATTTATCCTAATTCAGAAACTACAAGATCTTATGGTTTATTTCCAATTTAAACAGCTTCAAATGAATTTTTTACGAAAAGAATTTTGAATTTTATTTAAGTTTTTCTTTTTAAGAATAAAAGCGTTATTGCTGTATTGATCCTTTGTGGAGGATTAAAACCTAAGAGATCCTTTGAATTGATCCTTTGTGGAGGACTAAAACCTTAGAAAAAAAAATAAGATATTAATCATTCACTTTTTTTTTAGATAAGTAATAAACTTTACGAATAATTCTTTTAAAAGGAGTTGTACATAAAATAACTTATCTAATTAAAGTTTAAATTAATTTAAAAGATTTTTTTGAATTCAATGTTTATCAATAAATATTATGACAATTTAAAACTTAAGAAATAATTCTTTTAATGCAAATTGTACATAAAAATGTAAAACTTAACGAAAATTTCTTTTAAAGTAAATTGTATCTAATTAAAGCTAAAATTAATTTAAAATGTTTTTTTTTTCATTCAATATTTTGCAATAGATATTATAACAATTTAAAACCAATTAAAAGCAGACCTTAAATATGTGATTTAAGATTTAATTGCCGGAATGCAAAACAGTTCGTTTTAATCCTTACAACGAACTTACATAGGATTAATTCACCGAGCTGGAAGTGTATCTTTCAATTATCTTCTATCTTCGCCTTGCAGTTGGAAATTAACGCATCAAGATGAAGCGTAGAAAAAGCAGAAATAAAGCCACGAGCCCCAAACCCAAACGTTCCAGAACTGGAGTCATGTCATGGGATTGTTATATAAGGGTTCCAAACTCCTGAACATAATTCTGGGTGAGTGGACACGAATAATCACTTTTGCACAGATTCCATGCCAAATGTGCAGATACAGGTACAGATACACAGATACAAATAAGCGAGTCAAGAGAGCAAAGCAAATGGCGGTCTCTCGTTTCGCTGTTTTTGTGAGTGTGTGTGTTTGTCGATGGGCGGAGCTAAGGGCACAGTGGTTGTCATAGAAGCAAAATGTATCCCTAAGATACGGAACTGTTTTCGAGCATCTCTGGCTTGGCGCACTTCCAGTTGTTAAAACCGTGTCCTTTTTTTGGCTGCGCAGATTCCCTGGAAGATCAAGAGGGTGGAGCTATGTACATATCGTGCGATGTCTCAAACGGCGGTCCTGTGGAACCAGAGACGGGCTATGTGCCCAACAATCCCCTGTTCGGCTTGGCGCTGGACAGCCCGCAGGTGAGTCCTGGAATCCTGAATCCTGGTTTTAATCTCTCCGGGAAACTCTAAGCGTTCGGTTGTGCTATTTGAAGCTGTGAATCCCTTGCCAAAATCGGTAGCTTTTTAAATTTAAATCTGTGATTACGTACATAAAGTTAATTTAGTCAAGAAAAAAACTTAAAATGAAAATAAATAATTTTACCATTGATTTTACTATTGGCATCAGGGGAAATATATCTTCAATTTTTGCCATACATCAATATTTTATATCCACAAATTGAAAACTTAAAGATTTATTGACTACATTAAAAGTTTTAAGAAACTAAAAGAATTTTTTATTTCCTTTTTGGCAAAAAAAGAAATTACACATTTTTGAAAATTATAAGTTCATATCTACACACATTTATTTTTAATATATAAAAATATTACGATTTAATCTGAGTGTTTGAGAATGAATAGTTATTAAGATTTAAAACTAGTTATGGCCTTTTCCTAACCGGTTTGTGTTGGTCTCCATTTCCGCTCCACTTCCGTTGGTGCAGCAAGAGTGCGCCGCTTCCTGCGTCGGCTGTTTATCCTGCCAGGGCAGCACCGCCCTGCCCATCTCCTCGCTCACCAGCAGCGACTTCGACTGCGGCGGCTGCTTTGATCCCACCATTGGCGTGGGCGTCGGCGTGGGCGTGGGCATCGGTGGCGGCGGCCACATCCAGATCAGCACCACACCGCCGGCGAGCAGCGGCAACGGGAGCAGCAACAACGGCGTGGGCGGAGGATCGGCGGGTAACCACGGCTACTGGAGCACCGACGAGATGGCCTCCACGTTTCCCGGCCTGCCGCCGCTGGACATCGATCCGCTGCCCAGTCTGTTCCCCTTCTCGCCGTGCGGCGCCTCCTACAACTTCGCCGCCGGCAATCCGCACCAGGCATCGCTCTCCTACACGGTCCATCCGCACCAGATGCTCATCTCGCCCAATTCCCACAACCACGGCCAGATGCACTCGCAGCACCAACAGCACCAGCAGCAATCCCAATCCCAGACATCGCACGTCGGCGGCAACTCGCTCCTCCAAGGAGGCGGTGGCCAGAGTATCGGGAGCAATGGTGGTTCCACCGGAGCGGGTAACTCGGCCGCCTGCTACTACGAAACCAGTGCGGGAGGCGCTCCACCTCCTCCTCCGCCGCCGGCTGCCATGTATCCCAGCATGAGTGTGAATGTCAGCATGAACATGACCATGCATCATGGTTATGGGGCCGGGGATGCCAGTGGAGTGCCCATGCAGTGCTCCCAGATGAACTGGACGCCGCCGAGCAACTCCTCCTCGGCGGCAGCAGCGGCAGCGGCGGTGAATGTGCTATATCCACCGCTCCTCAGTCCCAGTCACTATCCCGCCTCGGCCACGTACTCCTTTACGGCGGACTTCCGGGCGCCGGCACCCACGGGATTGGGAGCCACCCTGCCGCCGCTGACAGTGGGCGAGAAGGAGTCGCCGTCGCCGCCGGCAAGCTCCGCCTTGGGTGGCTACTACCCGACGGGCGTGGGCAACCAGGGATACACGCCGCCACACAAGAGTCCCAGCAGTTACCAGGCGGCCGCCTTGGGTCTCAGCCTCTCCGGCTTCGAGGACGAGGAGGATAGCAACGAGGACCTGGACGGAGACGAGGGCAGCAGTGGTGGCGAGATGAAGCCCAATCTGTGCCGGCTGTGCGGCAAGACCTACGCCCGTCCCAGCACCCTGAAGACCCATCTGAGGACGCACTCCGGCGAAAGACCCTATCGATGCCCCGACTGCAACAAGAGCTTCTCGCAGGCCGCCAACCTGACGGCCCACGTACGCACACACACCGGCCAGAAGCCGTTCCGCTGCCCCATCTGCGACAGGCGGTTCTCGCAGAGCTCCAGCGTCACCACGCACATGCGCACCCACTCGGGGGAACGGCCCTACCGCTGCTCCTCCTGCAAGAAGTCCTTCTCGGACAGTAGCACCCTCACCAAGCACCTGCGAATCCACAGCGGCGAGAAGCCCTACCAGTGCAAGCTCTGCCTGCTCCGGTGAGTCCACCCCAGATTTACACCTTCCACATCCGCAGGATCTAATGATTTTTGAGACATTTTGAGATATATTGGAATAGTTGTAGTTGAATTTATTTATTTATTAAAATTTAACGATTAAACCCATTTATTCACGTTTTTTTTAGATTTCAACCAAATGTATCTTTAATGAAGATAACTGAATAAAAACAAATAGAATTATATCATACATTATATATATATTCAAATCAGCTTATTTCCTTTTATTTAATGCGTTATTGTTCGCAAAAAAAGAAAATCTCATTGAAACCTTTTCATCATTATGCTCTTATTATAATTTTTAATCTTACGAAATCCAATCAAATCCAAAAATTGTTCTATTTTTTTTTTTGGAACTCCAGCCAGCAATGGCCGTTCCAAAACCTGGAAGGCAGACTTGTGCTAATTGCTTGCTTTACCCCTTTTCACCACAGATTTTCACAGTCGGGAAATCTGAATCGGCACATGCGCGTCCACGGCAACAACAACAACAACAATGGCAGCAACGGTGGAACAGGAGTTGGAGGCGACACATCTGGGGGCGGAAGTGCTGGTGGCAACAGCCTCCTCACATGACAAAAGCCACGGAGTGCAGGCGGTTTCCAGCACTACCACCCCCCGCACACCCACCACATGCACCACCATCACCACCACGCCCACATGGGCAACTACGACTACGGTAACTACAGCATCGGCGATTACACTCCACCCGGAGCCACACAAAACTATTCAGGGTATTATTTCTGCGCACTCAACAAGCCGCCCAAGTTCGAACGATTCTACTAGGGGCTTGAAGCTGAGGGATTTCGAGAAAGAAGTCTTACCTATAGGTAAAATCATCCAGAAGAGAACCAAACCAACGAATGATAGTATATCTGGGGAGTACACAAGATTTCAGTACGATATTCAAACTGACATCATTTAATACCTATACATATAAACGTGTGGTTTAAATACTATTTTCAATTTAACCTGCTGCAATAGAGATATAAAATTCCTCATTAAAAACTTTATTTTACTTACTTTAGTGAAATTATTCAAATTCTTTTTCAAACATCCTTTTAAAAATTGTCAATTTTAAAGAATTGTAATCCTAGTAAAACTTGAAGATATTATACTCACTTCCTTGATCCTAGCCCAAATGCAGTTAAAAATGCTCAAATACAAATTTCTGTCGGATCGCGGAGAATCGAACAAATGTAGGCCTAAGAGCTGCACTGTACATACATATACATACTGTATTTATTATATTCGCCTAGCTTAATATGTATCGAGTCCAAGTTAATTCATCCAATCTATAATAAGGTAGTTGAAAACACGCATAAATCTATTCCAAATTAGCCAACGAAATAGGATTTAAGTCGGATATGAATACGAATCATAAGACCAACAAACACAGCAGCACCCAAAACGAGAATTAAAATTGGAATTGCCAAGGCATAATAAATATAAAACCTATACACGAATATTGTTAAAATACCAGTAAGATTAACTTAGATATAGATGTAAGACAGGTGCTTTGATTTAAGCCAATTTTTGAGTATATCAAAGAAAAGTATGAATAAAATATAAAATTTAAATTATAATGAAATAATGACTAACTTGGGTTGCACTTCACGCCAATTCCCAACGTCACAAATTTGTCTTGGAAAAATAAGAAAACATTTTTTCTATAACAAGTGAAAAACTTTATATTATACGAAAAGCAAGTACAAATCTTCATCTTCAGGCGATGTTATCAACTAGATAAACGGCTTCCGTATCGCCGCCGCAGACCAAACGGCTTCCGTGGACATCAAACGAGTTCACGGCCTTGCGGATGTTGCTCAGCACGCCCTCCACATCGACCAGGGATCGAACTCGATCGCCAGACAACCAGGGGCTCTGTCCAACTAGCTCGCTTCCGAGGACTTTGTTTTCCGACCACATCCATACCTCCCCACCCTCAGCGGCGGTGAAGAGTTTGCTGGGATCCTTGCGATGAAAGCCGATCTCGTTGATGGGACTTTTGTGGGCGCTGAGATAGGAGGCGGGATAGTTAAGGTTGCGCAGATCCCACACTGTTATGGAGCCTTCCTCACTGCCACAGAGAAGAATGTGCTGCTGCATGGGATGCGTGGCAAGTGCTGAAGCGAAGTTCGAAGACTTGTCATCCTGTGAAGCCACCATGAAAGTGGTTTTAGGCTGCGCTTCGGTGGCCACACGGGCATCCAGCATTCGGATTACCCCCATCCGGTTGGCAGTGACCAACTCCTGCTGGCTGATATAGCAAATCGAGAATAGCGCCATGCTCTCCGCCTCTATTTTGCGCTTCACCTGGCGCACATTTCCTACAGAGACAATGTTCACACATCCATCTTCGCCAGCGGTGGCGATATCCGTGCCATAGACTGAGATGTCGGTGCAGGGAGCCGACTCTCCACTGCGCTGGAAGCAGTGCAGTCTTTCGGAACGAGCCTTGCGCTGCAATTGGTCCTCTTCGACGGCTCGTTGAACGTTAATCACACTAAGATGACCTGCCACATAAATGAAACATTAATAGCCAAGCATTGGTTGGATACCCCTCAAATCTTACCATCTGCACAGCTAACAGCCAGCGTGTCCTTGTCTACGAACTCCATGCCAGTCACGTCGTCCTCCATTGCCACCTTGTCCATGCAGCGCGGCATCTGGTCCACATTCTCTGACTCCGACGCGGTGGCACATTGGTTGGCCTGGAGCCTCCAGAGGCGCACAAAGTTCCTGTCCATGTCCCAACTGCCGGTAATAAATCGTTCGCTTTGCTGCAGTTGCTCCGGCAGCCAGCGCACCCGGGCAACCTTCTCGGAAATGTAGTGGGTGGACACGTTCGCAGTGGACATACTTTCACTGATCTTTAAAAGAATTCCTAAACATAAACAAACTTCAATGCGGCTCTTTAGATTAGTGTGAACGAGCCGAGCTAAGTAGTCTTAAACAAAGCGGGAAAGTCTTTTTAGTATTTTTATCCGGTGCGGTATGGCTCTGCAGCGGCAAAATAGCTAACTTGAATTTATAGACTTCTTCAGTATTTCCACAACTTGGTATTTTTAATTTGCTACCACTCTATGGTTTTGGCGGGAAAAAGTAGCAAACAAAACATTGAAAGGCAAGCAAGCATAAACGCGGGTTATGGACAAATATTTAATTAAAATGCCTAGATCTAAAACAAATGAAACACCCAAACAAGTACGTACAGTTATCAACTACTTACAAGGAAAATATCAAATTTCACAATATTTTGTAGGAGAAAGCGGACGTGAAAAAAGAGACTCCCAAAATGACAAGCAAACGTTTAGAAAAACAGACCCCAAAAGAGGTACGTTTTTGTTAGTTCCTAAATATTATTACTCAATATATTTTTCTTAAGTTAAAGGACAAGGAAAATGTTGGGGATGACAATACTCCAAAGCAAACAAAAACAGGAAAACGTGGTAGACCGGCTGCCAAGCGAAAGAATTTAGATACTCCAGAAGCGGTATGATATAATTATTACATATTTTATACATAATAACATTAAAGTAAAAATTGTTTTTTTTAGAAAGAAAATGAAAAATCGGCAGAGAGTGAAAACCCGCCAAAGCGCAGGAGTGGAAGAGTCACAAGGAGCACTCGTTCTATGGCAGAGGATGGATCACCATCTCCCGAAAAGAAAAAGCCTGAAAAGTTGCCTTTTATCAAGTACAAAGGGGCTATTAAATACTATACAGAAAATCAGGATATAGCCGCATCTGCCGACGAAGTTTTGTAAGTAACAGTCAAATTCCAAAGGTGATTTTAATAATAATGAAATGACAACCATAATCAGGCAATGGGTGGAAAAGCAGAAGGATGATGTAGTGCCAATGGCTTTTGATATGGAGTGGCCTTTCTCATTTCAAACCGGTCCGGGAAAGTCCGCTGTTATACAGATATGCGTAGATGAGAAGTGCTGCTATATCTACCAACTTACCAATCTCAAGAAGCTGCCCGCGGTCCTTGTGGCCCTTATCAATCATCCCAAAGTGCGTCTGCATGGCGTGAATATAAAGAAGTAACTATAAAAAACGTAATCAATGTGTGGACTTTCCCAATCAACTATTTTGTTCTAGTGATTTCCGCAAACTAGCGCGGGACTTCCCCGAAGTTACCGCCGAACCTCTGATAGAAAAATGTGTGGACTTGGGAGTGTGGTGCAATGAGGTTTGTGGGACCGGCGGTCGCTGGAGTCTGGAGCGTTTGACCAACTTTATAGCCAAGAAGTCCCAGGACAAAAGCAAGAAGGTGCGCATGAGCAAGTGGCATGTTATTCCGCTGGACGAGAATCAACTGATGTACGCTGCCATCGATGTCTATGTAGGTGGATAAGTTATTTCTTTAAACAAAAATCCATTAACATTTTTTCTTACAGATTGGTCAGGTTATTTATCGGGAATTGGAGCGACGAGAGAAGGAGAAGCTCAAAAACGAAGAGGAGTTTAAGGAGCAAAATGGAGAAACCGCATTTAAAGCTGTTAAGGCATTAGGGGAAACATTTTTAACTAAAATTAATGAGGTTACTCTGTGAACTTTTTACTGGTCGCCAGAGACACAATTTCATATTTTACCCTCTTTTCAAATATTGCAATTTTTTACATAAGACTCGAACTATTTATTGCAAGCTTATTTTCACTTAACATCTTGCAACATTTCACTAAACTTAGTTGGACCTAAGCAATATTTTCCAATTTTATATTTAGGTTCAAATTGATTTTAATATAAGATAGGTTTTAAAATCATACACCAAATTCTATTGAAATTTTTAGCAATTTAATTGACTTAGAAACCTTAAAATTGTCTTTTTAACAAAAATTTCACTACCTTAATATTTCCTTGATTATTTGTCGATTATTGTTACGTTTCAGTTCCCCAAAAATTAATTAGTGTTATACAGTTTTCTTCATTTCTCAACTTGCAATAAATTTTAATTTTGTAAATTCGCATTAAACACATAATGAACACAGTTGGAGCTGCCCGTAGAGGCGTCATTTGAATTGCGGGCGCCGGGTGCCAATGGCTTCCAGTTTCCGCTTTAAGAGATCGTTGTCCAGATCGATCTGGCGTTGGAACTTCTTTCGGTTAATAGCAGCGCTGGAGAGACGCGGAGCCGGCGGAGGCTGTCGCTTTAAGGATAATATCAATGATAAATTTTGAATGTTAAAGTGGTTGAGCGGTACTCACCTTCTCGGGAGCATTAACCTTTAGACTACTGGTGCTCGCCTTGATTGTGGCCGTGGGCTTCACGGTCATCATTTTTCGAAGAAGAATCTGATTCTGGCGCTCGATCTCACGAACCTGGGGATTTGTGAAGCTGAAGCTCTTACGTCCAATGTTTTTGTAGCTAAGGGGAAAGATAGTTTTTATAGTTGTTTAAATTGTTTATGGGTATACTTACTTGACCTTTTCGTTGGAGCATCTTGAACGCGATACATTAATAGGATATTCGCATCCGTCGCTATTGAAGGTGCTTGGAGTACCGCTCGCCGCTCGTCTGTTGAACTCCGCCGGTCTGCGCTGGTGCGGATGCCTCATGAGTCCGTCTCCCTGACCACACTCATCCTCGAGGTAGCTTTCGTCCATTCCCAAACCCAGACCAAGGTTCGGATCCAGATGCTGGCCCAGTTCTTGACCCATCTCCAGTTCCTGCTCCTGCTCGAGCAGATCCGATTCCGAGGGACACCTGCACTTGGGCCTGATCAGCTTGGAGGAACGCGTCGTGATTAGCGCTTCCTGGGAGCGCTGCATCGGCATTCTAATCGGAGGTCTGCCTCCTCCCAAACTGCGAGCACTAGTCATTGCTGATTCCGATACGGATACCATCTCGGATTCAGATTCCTCGCGTATTTGACTCCGCTTTTGCATTAGCTCTGTGGCCATTGCGAGCTGCTCGAAGGCTTGGCTATTGGTGGGTCCACCATTGAGCTGGAACGACTTCATTATAATCTCCGACATCTGGGTCATCTGCTGCTCCAGGTAGCGAACCCTTGTCAGATCAGGTTGCTCAGTCAGCGAGGTATCGCCACTATTATCTAGGAGTTCATTATTGTTCGGTAATGGTTCCTCCATTTGATCCACCTTGGGTTCTTCTTCCTCCACGATCACTGGCTTGGATTTCGTTTAAGTTTAATAAATATAATTTATATTCAAATGCTTTTTACAATTTACCTGTCCTTTAAATCGAGGTGAAGCCTCCTCCAAGGTAGCGTCTGTTTCATCCCCCGCCGGTCCAATGGTGGCCACACTGATCTCGCTGCTGTTATCACTGGCATCCACCAGGGAAACAATGTCCTCCGTCGGCAGCTGAATCTTCTCCTGTTCGCTCTTTCTGCATACAGCCGTTGCTATTGGTTCATCCTCCTCCAGTGGCTCCACTTCCACATCCGTGGCCTCATCTTCATCGCTTTCCTCTGCGGAACGGCGACCTTCGTTCGACCCAATGGTACCATCGCTTTGGGCATCCTCCTCGTCCTCTTGAACTTCCTCCTCCTCTTCGACTTCCTCGACTTCAGCCTCCTCGTCGTCATCGTCGGCATTATCAGCTTTAGTCGGGGAGTGGGCACTGCCTGGAGTCAGAGTGCGCACCGAGGGGGTCTCATCCTCCAGGGAGTTGCCCAGTCGCAGACTAAGCTGATTCACTTCGGCCACCGTCTTGGTTATGACCACTTGGCTCTCATCCTCGGAGGAGGAGTCTAAATAGGGCTTTATGCGATCTCGATTGAAGCCGCCAGCGGATCGGGCGTTCAACTGCCGACGGGCGTGTGGCTGTGGGCGTGGCGCGGGTTGGGGGTTAAGGCTGAACTGGGAAATGGTCAGTTCCTGTGGAGGAGGACTTACGTTTCCCCGCAGAAACTCCGCTTCCGCATCACTTTCGCTCTGCGTGTCGCTCTCCTCCAGCAGAGAAGCTGCATTTCGATCTGGTTCCTCCTCAATGTTATCATCGTCATCTTCCTCCTCGTCCTCCACCTCTTCCTCTTGCTCCTCCTGCTCCTCCACCTCTGATTGGGAGTCCTCCTCGAAGGACTCCTCCGCATAGGTCTCCTCATCAGAGTTTTCTCCAGTTTCCGACATTCTGTAAGCTTGTCCTTTGTCGGCTTTCAAAGAAAGTTTCTTTCGTTCTCTAAGTGTATTTTTTTTTGGGGGAGTACGTAGTTTCAGGAATATATGTGTGTCTTTCTGTAGATTATATCGAGAACTACCGATACCCGGAAAATGCTTTAACTATAAATTTGTATGCTAGCCTGAATAGTGGCTTCTTGTTTACTGAGTTCGATTTCCAGCAAGTTTGATGCCTTCCTTTGATTGACACCTGACCCCTCGGGTTGGGGCAGGTGCTCCTCCTCCGGTTTTCCCCCGTGTGGGAAAACTTGGGGCATTCCACGCTCCTCGCAACTTTGACTCTTTGGCTGCCTTGCGGTGGCGCTGCCAACCGTCGACTGGAGCTCAGGTGAGTACTGAACACCCCTTGACCGTCCGGTCATCCACCACTTGACACCTGGGAATTTATTTATTTTAGCTAGCCGTCGTCCTGGACAACCGAGCAGGCGCAGGCGGTTTGTTGTCCGTTGCCTCAGCAGCGATTGCCGGCTTTTGTTGGGTTTATTATGAAAAACACTAAATAAATTAACCAAGCGGTGTCCAGGTTGAAGTTGTAACAAATATTTGTTGCTTAGAGAAATAGAAAGGAGGCTGGAAATGTTTATGTTGGTTTTTGTAAAATAACTGTTACTGTAACTGTAACTGCAACATAACTGTATTATACTTTCTTAAATATATTATGTGTCAATAAACGAGGGAAAAAATGAGAGTTTCAGAAAATGTTGTAATTCCGCTATAAAAATAAATGTTATTTGCGTATTTAAAAAAAATATAAATATAAACTATTATTTTTCTAATTTATTTATGCTTTCTTTAAATTACTTTTGAGTTTTAAACACCCCCTAAAGCTCTTCTGCCAGCGCCTCTGTGCGAAGGAGCTTGCGCTGGAGTGCTTTCCCTCTTTCGCTCAATCTCTCTCTCCTTGGGGCATTTCTCTCAGTGGCTCTCCCGCAATCTGACAGTTGAATGAAAGGCGAAGCGGCGTCGAAATCAGCCGCCTGGCAGCTTCAAATTGTAAATATTGCGAGCGGCGTTCTCGGTGCTCTTGCTCAATCCTCTCCTTCCCCCGCGTATTCCCCTCCGGAGTCATGTGTCAGTTGATTGCGCATGGGCGTGGAGAGAATCCTCTGAAGAGCACCACCGTTATATTGACTTGCTTTGAGCGAAGCGGCTGCTGTTGGCCAGCGGGAATTTCATTTGGCCAAGAAGCTTCGTGGCGTGCGGGCGTGTTGCTGAGCCGGAAAATGCGCGCGTAAACCGTATTAGATGTGTGAGAAAATTGTGGCCCGCAACGGGAAAATTGGCAGAGCAAACAAGCGAGTGTGTAGCGTGCCATGTGCTTGTGTTTGTGGAGTGCGTGAATGAAGTGCCACGGAATCGTAGCGGAAATCGTTTGCTAGCCCATCGACTGGCCAGCCAGTGCGGGTAATTGCCGTGGCTAAAACACCATCTTGGCCAGCTTAATAAACGGTTCGGAGAAGCGAGACATCTCGACTTGATGAACCTTTAAAATCCGATGTGGCGTTCATCGCTTTAAAAACGCTACCAAAAAGCGCGTGGAGTATGCGGCGTATACGCAATATGAGCTTGTTGAATAAGCTCAACATAGAAGTGAAACACTCGGCGTATACGCAATCTTAACCAGTTTTGATATCCGAAACACGCAGCGTACACGCAACCTAGCCAAAGACAGATTTATTTCGTCCTTAGAGTTGTTAAATCAATAGCAAACCGTTTTGGGAAAGTTTCACTTTTTGGCAGTCGCTCTTTTGTCCTTTGCATGCGTTAATGTCCTTTTGCAACAGTCGCCTAAGTAATTGCAAATTGCGTGCCGCAAGTTTACAAGTTATTTCCTTTCTCTCGCTCTCTTTCTCTAACTCTGCCACCCCTTTTGACTGCAGCAATTTGGCTAAGAGCTTGCGATGGCTTCGGGGGTTGCGGGGGCGGTTAGGTGGGTCAAAAGGCGCAGCCACACGACACCAGGAAACAGCCGCAGCACAGCCACACAGCCACCAACCTACCACTTCCAACCTGAATTCTCTCCAGCCTCGAACCACCAACCAAACGCCGCAGTCAATGCGGCTAGACCAAGAGCTCCAGCGGCAGCAGAAAGTCTTCGTTTGGCTTGGCCGTGGCTTTAGAACACAAAAAAATACATCCGTTAAGACAGAAAATACCCTGTGAACCCAAAGTAAAAACAGAATTACGATTCGCACTTAAAAATCCATTTATTACCAAAAGCACTCTCGCAGTTTTAAGAAATATTTCAGAGCAAGTGAATAAAACGTGTTATAAGTTTAGTGCAAGTGTTTTTAACTTTTAACAGCACAAAAGTTTTTGATGTCAGTTGTCACCGACGGGTTTATAATTCAACGTTGAAACCAAAAGTTTTGAGTCTTATTTGCAATAAATAATAGTGGAATACTCTTATGATAATTAGGTTTCGAAAGTAAATTACTTTAAAACTTTATTTAAAAGATAGAAAAACCTCTCTTGTCTGCATAGTCATTATCGCAAATACACATTTAACAAAATAAATTGTTTATGGTTTCCATTGATTCATCCTCCGAATTGCAAACAGAGCCAATCGTTTTCTGGTAAACAACTTTTTTCTCGCTAAATCATTTCTGCGGTTTGAGCTTCAATGTTTACTGAAGAGGAAATCCGATAAAATTGAACATATAATTTTCCTCTTTTTTAGAGTTAAATTTTTTTTTTAAAAACTATTCGCTTTGACTTTTTGTCAGTTTTTCCGACTCACTTAAAATTGGCATGTACCGTGAATAAAAATGTTTTGTTTCGACTTATCTCAAATTATAATAGTAAATGGTTGTAAAAACCACGCATTGCGGTATCAAGAACTGGATTTTCCGTCATAGTTCTTTCTTTATTGCTTAAAATAATCATTCATAAAGTTATGACCATTTGGTTTCTAACTTTCAAGGGTATGCATAACTTCGTTTTCGACCTAGAGTTAACCTTTCTCTTCGCCGCTCTATTTTTTTGCTTATCGATTTTCGACGGTTGACTGACGTCGGGACTTTGGGCCAAAACTTGAGCCGTGAGCCGGCTAATAATGCTCAGTAGGTCAGCGCCGCGGCAGTTTGAAGTGCGTTAGAAGCAACAGTGGCCAACGGCGTACTGGCTGAAACGAAACCGAAAACTGGCACAGCCCAGAAAGAGACAGGGATGGCTGGAGCGAAAGAGACGGGTTGAGTTATCGCGGCAGAGGGAGGGGGAGCACGAACCGCTGGCTCTACTTGAGGCGTATAAAAATAGCAGCCAGCTCGCACACAAACGCAGTGGCAACTTCAAACGCGCTTGGCCTACTTTTCTGGGTAATGGGCTTGGGACGTCAACTGCTGTTGGTCCTGCTCCTGCTCCTGCTGCTGCTCCTTCTCTGTTCACTCCTCCTTGCCACATACCGCTTTTCAGCGCACCCGTTAACCGCAACCAAGTTAAATGAAGCACACTCACAAACATCGAGAAAAACAAAGGAACTAAGTACGTTATGAAGTTGTTGGTTGCAGCATTAGTTGTTTTATTCGTGGCTTTGACTCTATTTATATCGATCAACAATAGTTTAATTAGCTGTGATTGAAATTTCATAAATGAAACACTATATTCACTAATATTTTGATCAGTGCACAATCAAGGGGGCTACCTCCACACGCAAATTACCAAAGGCAAAGAGGAGCAGAGGGAACTGGTGAGTTGCTGGAGCAGGCCGAAGCACAGGATTCTGCACAAGCGGCGTTAATCATACGCATCGTGTGCCAATCCGTGTCCAGCGAATGCAAAGTCAATCAGCGTTTAATTGACAGCTGCAGTCACTGCCAGATACGCTCAACAATGGGCCGAAAGCCGCCCAGCAAGCGGCACTCGGAACAGCAATTAAAACGGAAACCCACTGAACAGGATTTTGGCTTTGGTTACGCTTTTGGGTCCTGCTGCCTGTGAAGCAGGTCATTAGTGTTCCCCGAAAGTGTAGAAGCCTCCCGTGCAGAATCGATTCCGAACGTATTTTTTGATTAATGGTTCGTGCTAAGGTTGACGTATCAATTGTGTGCGAAAAGTATATATTATTACTGCTCTACAAATTTAGTGAGCTTAAATAACTTGAAAAACAAGATGTACATTCAAAAAATAATATTGAATTTTAATCCAACAAGCCAATGTAGAATACAATACTACAATTAGAATTTGGCACCCACATTGGCAGACGCTTTAAACATAAGCTACAAAATAATAATACATCTCCCTTTACGTTTCGATTTATAAACTTTCATTCCAAGACTTAAGACTAATTGGCTTTATCGAACTTTTTTGATGAGACCTTATATGAAAACAACTTTTCTTGCCCTCTACACAATTAGCTGTTGTATTGGCTGCTGCTGACCAGAGTTTGTTTTTCGGGAAAACTGGAAACCGCAGAACAAGTTCAAGTCGGCTTAGGACCGCCTCCTGATCCCCTCCCCCTTCTTACCAGCATCTGCCCCCATTATTAGCCATATGGCTGTCAGTGATTGCTGGCAGTTGCTGCGGCAGCTCGAAACTTATCGCTCGATTGCAGATTGTTTCTCGACTGCCAAGGCGGCGCCGCAAAGTATGCAGCACTAAGTAGTCGTTGGCCCTTCTACTTTCTCCTTGCTTCCTTGCTTCCTTTCTTCCTGCCGTGTCATGGCATTTTCCAATTAGAACTGCCTTCTGGCCTGGCCAAGAGGAAAGCGAACGGGGGGAGCACAGGACTGGTGCCAAACATGCGTGGCACGTGAGCGGCAAAGGTAAAAACTTCTCGTTTCCCATGTGCGTGTGTGTGCATGTAAATTACAAAATCGTGCAAAAAAGGTGCCATTAAAAAGGCTGAAAGAGCAAAACAACAAAAAAAAAAAAAGGAACAACAACACCCAACCAACGCACAAATGGTGACTTCAAAAGAACAGCGAGTTGTGCATGCTCTAGCAGACCTGTTCAAACATTTATGCGGTGAAAAAAACATCTGCTGACAGAAGGGGCCGCTATTGGATTTCCCAAATAAAAAGGATAAACATGGGTGAAACACTTTTTTCTAATATACAATGTAATAAATTATAGGTAGAAAGGAAATCTCTTAAACTGATATTTTTTAAAGTGCAAGATTGACCATAAATAGCGAGAAGAAAGAGCAACAGTAACAAAAATTGTTTATATTTCTAATTATATTATATTTCTACCTTTCTAAATTTATAATAATACTTAAATGTGTGCTTTAAAATTATAAAGCCAAAAAGGTGGTTGCATGAAAAATACTTTATGAAAGGCAAAACTCTTCCAATTTTTTTCTCCTGGCTAATTGGAGTACTTTCATCCTTAATAACAGTATTACCAGTTAGTAAAATGATTAAATATGCCATTAGAATTCATTAGGCGAAAGTATCCTCTTTATATACCCCGGATTTAGGGTATTTTGCAAGGAACGTTGAATGTTATGCTTGGCAGGGCAGCAATTTAAATTCTCGCTTCACGCCCGTGACACGCCTCTGCTTCTTTTCACCTCCCAGTCCCTCCCCCTCTCCCCTTTCTGCCACCCCATAAAGTTTTGTCTCCGCTGGCATTGCGTATACGCCGCGTACTCTCCACCCACCAATAAACATACTCCGCCATGCGTTGCGTATACGCCGCGTACTCCCCGTTCACCCGCCTCGCCCCACCAACAAAAAACTGATGTTATGTGCGTGCGTGCGTGTGGTGCATAATTACAGGTGCGCTGTGCTGTTGCGGTCGTGGATGATGCGGCTGGAGCTGGCGGCGCCAGGAGCCCAGTTCCCGGCCCATAATTGTCGGTTGAATGACTCTCGATGCGATAGCAATAACAGCACTGAAATCAGCCGCGCCGGCAACCATAATACAGTACACCACGGTCCCATTTGACGGCGAGCAGTAGAACCAGCAGCGAACCAATTGCCAACAGCACCACCGCTCAAATTTTCGGACATTTGCGACATGTTAGCAGCGACAAGGCGAACGGACAACACAACAACAACAACAACAACAACAACAACAACACAACACAAGGAACAATCGTCAGCGAGATTGAATAAAACTACAGGAGGGCAAAGGAGAGGATCACCTTGGGGATCATTGGGACTTGCAGCCGGAAGAGAAGATGGTACTCAGCACCGAGTGGTCGCAGGTGGAGGTCATCGATCTGATCAACGATGGCAACGGCCTGGGCTTCATCCTTGTGGGCGGTCGAAGTACCGGCGTTGTGATCAAAGCCCTAACGCCGGGGGGCGTGGCCGAGCGAGATGGTCGGCTGCAGTTGGGCGATCATCTGCTGCAGATCGGCGAGGTCAATCTGCGGGGCTTCAGCTCGGAGCAGGTGGCCACAGTTCTTCGTCAGACCGGAGCTCAGGTGCGTCTGATTGTGGCGCGGCCGGTGGAGCCGACGGCCATCGATTACCAAACGCTGGCCTGTCAGGCGCCGATTATACCAACTAAGCTCCTCTCCGACCCGGAAGAACTGTCGCGTCATCTCTTCCAGAATCCGAGTTTCGCCACCGCAGCAGCAGCAGCAGCAGCCGCAGCAGCAGCAGCGGCAGCGGCAGCAGCTGCAGCAGCAGCAACGGGTGGTACCAGTGGCGGCGGCTTGGATGTGGCCAGCCTGGTGGGTCTGGTGCGCGGTGGTCCCGCCGAGGGTTCGGCCCTGTCCGCCGTTGAGTCACCGATGCCACCAACATCCACTGGTCACCTGCAGCTCAGCGAACTGGGCGACTTGGCCGACTTTCCACTGCCTCCGATTCCGGGCGGGAATCAGCTGCTCAGCGAATCCGGCGCCGGGCAGAGACCTTGTCCGCGTCTGGATCTGGACATAGTGCCCTTCTCGATACTGTCGCCCCCGCCACGCCCCGCCCTGCAGCTGCTGCCCCTGGAGACCCAGTGGCGATCCGTTCAGGATCAGCACCAGCACCAGCACCAGCACATTGAGACTGTGATAGCCGACAGCAAATGCCAGCTGTTGGCCAACGAAGGTGGCAGAGGAGATGGCGGCGGAGGAGGAGGTGGAGGATCCGTTTCGGGTTCGGGTTCCGGATCACCCGACTCGTACATGGACTCCCCGGAAACGGAAACGTACGTGGTGGAGCTGCACAAGAACGTTTACGGACTGGGAATCACGGTGGCCGGCTACGTGTGCGAGGAGGAGGATCTCTCGGGGATCTTCGTGAAGAGCATCATCGAGGGCAGTGCCGCGGAGACGAGCGGTCAGATCCAGATCAACGATCGCATCGTGGCCGTGGACGGACGATCCCTGTCGGGGGTGACCAACCACCAGGCGGTGGAGCTGCTCCGCAACACCGACATCGAGGTGCACCTCACCTTGGAGCGATTCCTGCGCGGCCGGAAGTACGAGCACTTGCAAGTGGCTCTCACGGAGATCAAGGGAAGCTCCGGGCACTCCGGCCTGGATCGGAATCAGGACAAAGACCCGGATCAGGAGTCGCAGCTGTCCATGCCCGGTTCGCCGTCGATAGCCACTCTGAGTTGGCTGCCACCCAAGTCGCTGGATGCCGATTCGATAGCCACCGAAGGAGACGATGTGGTGGAGGCGGAGGATGTGGGCGTGTCGGGAGTCGAGGATGAGTGCATCGAACTGCCATCCCGCGACACCGTCGAGTCGAACATGTCGCACGTGCTGGACCGCAGTGACCACAGCAGCGGCGGCGGCATCGGTGGCATTGGTGGGCCAAAATCCAAGATTAGTCCCACAGTTCCACTCACGAATGGCCGGAGTTTGAGCCACCTGGCCGATGACAGTGGCAACGACACCGACGAGCAGTGTCCAGAGCCCGAAACGGAAATGGCCAAGGCCAAGGCGACGAAGGCTAGAAAGGGATCCCGGCCAGATTCGGAGAGGGTTTTCAATCCTCCGGATGATCTGGTGGCGGATAGCGATACGGATCCCGGCCAGATGGCGACGCCCACGAACGAGGCACCGGTGGTGGCCAGGGCGGCCAGCCCGACGGCCGCCTCGCTGCGCGTCGCCTGGAAAAGTGAGTTTCCCGACAGTGAAATAATAGTTGCCGAAATAAATAAACTTTCAGGTCTAGGGATCAGCCTCGAAGGCACCGTCGATGTGGAGTGCGGCATTGAGAAGCGTCCGCACCACTACATCCGCTCCATACTGGCCGACGGGCCGGTGGGTCGCCAGGGCATCCTGCGACCGGGCGACGAGCTCCTCCAGGTGAACGAACACAAGCTGCAGGGCCTGCGGCACATCGAGGTGGTCAAGATCCTCAAGGAGCTGCCCGCCAGGGTGAAACTGGTGTGTGCACGCGGCACTCACGTTCCCTCCGTGATCAATACCTCGCAGAATCCGGAGGCCTTCGAGACGCGCAGCCTGCTGCCCGGTGGCCACCAGAGTCTCCAAAATCTGCTGAGCAAGGCGCAGTCGGAGAGCTCGCTCTACACGTCCAGCACGGCGACTTTAACGGATGCAGGAGGAGCAGGAGCAGCTGGAGGAGCAGGAGGATCGGGCGGGAATGCGGCTGGAGGAGCTCGCTCCAAGTCACTGGAGAACGTGTCGGGCTTGGCCCTGTGGAGCTGCGAAGTGACCGCCGTGGAGATCGAGAAGACGGAGCAGGGCTTCGGCTTCTCCATACTGGACTACCAGGATCCCCTCGACTCGGAGGGCAGTGTGATCGTGATTCGCGGCCTGATACGCGGTGGTGCTGCGGAGGCAACCAACGAGATTTACCCAGGCGATCGCCTCATGAGCGTCGGCGATCGCCTGCTCCAGGGCCTCGAGCTGGACGAGGCGGTGTCCATCCTGAAGGGCATGCCCCCAGGACTCACGCGCCTCGGCATCTGTCGGCCGCTCTCCGCCTCGGACAGCAATAGCAACAGCAATATAGCCTCGCCACTCGGCGATTCCGCCAGCACATAGTGGCAGCCCCTCCCCGACGGCCACCAGGAGTCGGAGGTTCAACTGGGAGCAGGAGCGGATTCGGAGCGGGAACTGGAGCAGTTTGCATTATGTGAGTACTACTTTGCTTTATTTTATACTTGTATATATTTTAAAAATTCTCAAAAAGATTCCCATTAACTCTTACATTATTCTGCATATGAAATAATAAAAGCCCCTATTTTAATATTTGATTTCTTAAGAGAGAGGTGGAATTAATCAATGATAATTTAAGATCTCATTGGAATCATATTTCGACAAGCCATAGCCACTATATTAGATAGAATTTTCCAAAAAAACTAGACAAAAAAATTATTGAAAACCTTAAAAAATTAAGCTATCCACAAAAATAGATTCAGCCAACATCTACTAATTAAAATTGTTTGCTTTGTTTAGTCTACTGATTTCTAAAGTGTGTGAGAAAATTAATTGCCAACAGACCTGCTCAATTTACAAGTTCAACTAAATTCCCACAAGATCTCAAAAATTTCATGCTGAGAGAAAATCATTAAGTTCTGGGTAAAATTAAAAGGCACAAATATTCAGAAAACATTGTGTTTAAATACAAAGCAATTTCAATTCAATTAAAAACTCTTCTCAAGAAGGCCAACCAGATTTCACTTTAGGTTTACTGATTTTTTGATTGATTGGTGGCACAGCTGCTGCCAAAAGTCAGTATGAATGCGAAATTTCCATTGATTCAACAAAGGAGCGAGTTTTTATTAAATTGTCACCTGTCGCACCTGGCGCCAATTTCCCTTCAGGATTTTCCTTTCCACTTTCTCTTCATGCGGTGTTAATCAAGTGACAGTTTATTTGTGCTCGGATGCGTGGATACCTTTTTCGGGGATGGATGGCCCAGCCTGACAAATTGTGCCGCTCCAGTGAGCCCCCAAGTCAATTTCCTGATACCATTTGGGGTTACCCCGAAAATATATGTGAGATTTCATTTTTAATTGTTGCCCCTGGTGACGCCCAAAAGTCATTTCAAAAAGGTAGCGCCCACTTTTGGGTGGGAATCGGAAAATAAATGTGGATAAGGGCCATTGTCGAATTGATGACCGTTGGATGTGCTTTTGAAGTTTATTGCTCATACGCCCTGTCTGGCCAGCACAATATTCACAGCCTGTCTATTTTCTTCTTTCATTTAGTGTATGTCTTCATCTATATATATTAACCGCAGCCTTTTCGTGTGGCTAATTTGAAGGCAACCTTTTGGCCTAAATGCCTGCTACTTTTCTTTATAAATATATACCAATTTGGTTTGAATTTTTAATAGGTTATCATCAAAGTTGAAAGTCATTTAAAATTGTCCCTAAATATAATGAACATGCGTGTGTTTCCAAAATTTCAAACTCAACTATACTTCATTCCGGCCCTAATAATAACTCCTTGAACAACTTTCAACCATGTTTGCTTGTTAGCTTGCCTAATTCTTGTTATGAGCTTAGCCACACTTCCCTCCTTGTTTAATTTATTAAATTTGCAATTAAACAGAGAGAAAATGGCAAGGCGTTTGACATATGCTAGAAACTTTTAATGCCCAACACCTAAAATGCTGAGACCAAAGGGAGAAAGTGTCTGGACCGAAACTTTCCCTCAGTCGGTGGCGAAAAGCAAGTTTTGTCCACACAGTTTCGGGGCTTCCTTTACGCATAAATAATTTATGCGTAGATATGTATATAGTAAGTGCGAAACTTTGACAAGAAGGAACGAAGCTGGACGAAGGATAAACTGGAAATTACCACTAATCTCCTGGGTCGACATTCTCGCTTCATGTTAGCCCCATAAATAGTAATTATCTTAATTGGCTCTCGCCGTTCGCATTCATAATTTACAATTTGTCTGGCTGGCTAGCTGGCTGGCTTTTGTTTAAAAAATCATTATATAGCAATAGTTGGTCAGCATAAATTATAAGGGTAAACGAATGCTGACGCTGCCTTGGCCAACTGGCCGTCAAGTTGGTCGATGATTTATGCATGTGGCGATGGCGAAAAGTTTCTTGCCCCAAACTAGTTGCAAGTTCCACGTGGGAGGTTCCAGGTGCGAATCAGGTCGTCTGGGAAGCGAGCAAGTGGCGGCGGAATAATAAAAGCTCGCCCAGCAATTATAAAAATGTTTGCTTCATGTGCGAAAGCCGACGGTGAAATTTTTTCAATATACGAGTTTGTATTTTATATAATGTACACAGAAGCCGTATTGAGTTGTATGTACCCGCGGTTATTTATGCGAGTTTGTGTAAATATTTGGCTGGATAGTCGTTTGTTGTTGTTTGGCCGTTTAATTAATTGGCTATTAAAAGTGTTGAAAATTGAAAACAAAATTTAACGCCACTGGAGCAGCTACAACAGCATAAATATAGAACAACCCGAACCCACCGGATTCTGTGGGAAAAATCAGCAAAATAGCAGCCCGAGCAAGTTGTTTGAGTGAAATGAGAATTAAGAGCTTTTATGTAAATTCAGGAATTAAATACTTGTAATTATATTGCTTTTTGTTGCATCAACTATCTGGAAACTGCAAAAGAGGGAAAGTAAATTTCGCTGAGCAAATAGCCTGGTCATCACTTTCCCACAATAAGCGAATTAAATTCTCCACAACAACCCCATGGATTCCTTGTACGCCTTTGTTTACCATGGCGAACAAAATATTTACGCAATCAAAGTATAATAACAATAACAAACAAAGTTTTATAAAGGCATTATTATCAATATTTAGCAGGGAAAACAGTGTTTTTCTTGGTGGAACTTTTACGCGGGAATAAAAAATTGTACCACTTCTCCTAAAATAGAAGCCATGTTGACATTATACAAAATGATTTTTTTTTTTTTTTTTTTGTAAAATTTTAAAATTAATATTACCTGAAATAAACGCACTCTGTATGTTTTTTTTTTAATAATTTCTACAAATTCTAGTTAGCGGCTGATAAAGTTTAATTTACTAGAAATCATAAAATGTTGATTTCTGAAAACAGCTAAGTTTTTTTGACGGTTTTTCTGTTGCCTTCAACAACATTTTTAATTAATGAGGCCTGCGTCATGCCCCAGAATTTTCAAAATCATGAATTGTTTACAGTTGGCAGCTTAGCAAGTCTGATTCGCTGGCGTTGCATTTTAAATCAAATTAATGTAAACAATGACAGGGATGTCAGGTGGTTGGACAGTTTGCCAGTTTGCCAGTTGCAACAGCGATAATAATGATTCAGAAACGACTGACAGGCGGCAGAAATTGTGTTTGTTGCGTTCCAATTTTACAAATGTAAATATGAAATACCAAAAACATAATTCCACTGGCGAACATGTGCGGATGATTAATGCTAAAGCTTCTTTCTTTGTTGCAAGGCACTTGCATTTGCATTTGCAGTTTCAATTTGCTGATTGCAACGGCATGGAAAGCCCATCAAAGAAATCCGCCAAGGAATTTATAATTTATTCAACTATTTTAGCTTCCTAATGCATTCTCCTCATCGCATTCACAAGCGAAGGAATCAATAAATGAAACTATTTGTTGATTGAAATTCTTGATTGATTCAAGAAAATTACTCAAAGCAAATCAAATAAGGAATTAACTACTTAAGCTTGGCATGGCAATCGTATATTTGAATAAGTTAGTTGTTAATAGTTTGGCAAAGTTTAGAGAAAACTTCAGCATTGAACAGAAAATATCAAATTGTACCAAAAACATTCTCAGATAGTTTTCTATCTGTGATTTTCTTTGTTTTGTACATAAATATCTAGTGTGTGTTACACATCCGAACGAACCCCAAGGAAAATGTTGCATTTCCTGCATTCAGAATTGTTTCATTAAAATGGCTCTGTGCCTGATTGCCGGTTCTTCGAGGATATTTGCGCTTGCAAGTATAACAGACTGCAAAAATAATTACGGCAGAACAAAAAACTCATTAAACGCATAGCACACACCGCAAACACAGCCATCAGTGGGTGTGTGTATGTATGTGAGTGTGTGTGTGTGTGTGGGTGAGCTTTCTAAATTTCCACAGCCCTGCCTGCCTTTCTACCATTTCCGTTTCCTTCGCCCAGGAGTGTCGAGCATGCATGGAAATCTATCAACGTCTGTGCCTGGAAGGCACTCTCACAGTTTTTCAGCTGGAATGCCTTCCTTTGTGCACGGAAAACAATTAAAATCACTTCAACATTGCAATATTAATAATTAACTGGTGCAGAGATTAAAAGATGCTTCGGTAGATTAAATTCTATATAAACTAAAAACTAAATGCATTTTATCAAGATTGTGTACTCAAATAATTAAAAGATTTTCTATGGATACATTTTGGTAGATTTGCATTAGAATTCATTTTCAAATGGTGTTAGGGTTAGTTTTGAACTTTAGTATTTCATTCGTGAGAGTGAACAGCCTTACATGTATTTTGATTTCAATATTTTATCCATTGGTATCGAAATTTTCGCTCTCTATTCGTATGTAAGCACGTAAAGCGGGTCCCGGCACAAAAAACATTTATTTAATGCAACAATTGTGTAGATGAGGCAGCTGCCGGATCCGGGGAACGGGAATGGAGAAACAATACCGGGGCAAGAGCATAATACAGATAGCGGCAAGGAAGCAAGGACCTGATACTTTCCCCCTCCTCCCTCCTCCCTCCTCCATTTCTCCCCTCAATTTCCACCTTCTCCCTTGGCTTGCCCTCTTTGTAATTGTCTGTGCATGAACTTCAAGCTTACACTTTGCAGCAGAGGCAACAATCACAACAGCAACAGCAACAACAACAACAACAGCAACAACAACAAGTTGCTGGCTTTATCTTGGCATATCGACAACAAGCTCATCATCCCGTGCTTTGTAAGTCCACATCGCGTATACGCCTCGTGTGCTCGGTGCACTCTTGAATGCGTCGAGAATGAGCTTGGTTTTACTTTTCTTTTTTGAATGAGCACCCTATAATTTGTGGGAAGATCGGTCATGTTTGGTGTATTGAATAGATTATTGTTAATGATGCCGTCAAAATATGTTTACAGAGTGCATTTTTCTATTTATCTTCTATTTAGAAATTCAAAAATAAATTTTTTGGAATTTAGAATAAGTTACAAAGTTTAC